TCAAGATGAAAATATTTCTGCTCATGCAACCTAATTAATCATATTCGATGATATAACAGTAATGAGCAACAAGTGTTTACATTGACAGATTTATGATGTGATAGTGATAGTGATTGTGGTGGTTATTTTACCTGACAGCTAAGAAAGCAATCCCGACCCCTCCCCCCCCCCCCCCCCCACTCCGGGGTCGGAATGACCGCATGCGTGTTACCAAAATGTCCGGTAAAGGGGTACTTTTCGTGCGACAAAGTCCGGCCCGAGAATTGTAAAAAAAAAAAAAAAAAAAGGGGTGTATTTGACTTTTCACCCGGAGATTTCTTTAACAAGGGGGTGTTTTTCTTTTTTTCCCCCTCTCATCTCTTTGGACTCCTGAGAAATTATTCCGAATTTAGGGGGTACATTGAGCCTTTTTCCGTATTTAGGGGGGTCTCCAAGGCAGGAAAAGCCCGTGTAAAGCCCGCGAAAGGGGGGTTCGGAAATGTTGGCAGTCCTCAGATAGGGGGTGCCGTTTCAAAAAGAGGGAACGAGCATACGCGTACCCTAAATAACACTGAGTGGGGGGCCGGGAAAGCAATAAATGCTTTTTTTTTTAAATGTGTATTTCCCCCCACAGTAGAGCGTTTTATTAAATAATAAAGCAGTATACATCTTTCTTCATAACAACAGCTATTGAGTGTTGACAACATTGACTGGATACAACATTGAACACGTAATAATAAAACACAAAAAAGATTGTAAGAGGACCTAAGGTTAGATGCCAATAATGTGCATCACAATGCCAGCCAGCACCCACGTACCGACCACACTCCAAACACCCAACAAGCCAGAACAATAGATCCGGGCCAGATTGTTCTGGCTCGGTAACTCCACTGCTCTCGCCCGCCGAGTGCAAGAGTGCAGCCAATGAATGCCGACCGCCATCGCATAACATACCATCGATTAAACATATTATCAGTATTAATCAAAAAGACCATTGAAACCTGACTAGCATCTTTCAAATGAATCTTGCTTCATATTTTCACAAAAGATATTTTTTTCAAAACCAAAATAAACCTTTACCTCGTTTAAAACTTTTTGTGGTAAAAGGCGAATTCCAGTCAATTTGTTTTTATAAATGACTCATTTAAACCAAATGATAAGTGAATTTAAAGCTTTATTAAATTTATTGGGTGTGATTCCAAAAAGAACATTCTCGACTGTTAATTTCAACACAAATTTACATCTTTCGTACAATTTATTTTCGAAATATTCCCATACCTTCCTCACTATGTGACATTAAACAAAATAGGTGTTCAACGGTTTATTCATGCAATAAACACAATGTACATGCGCTGCTTGGGGGGGGGGGGGGGGGATGTAGTTAGTGAGCACTATATATTTTTTTGGCCCTCGAAAATTTGAACCCCCCCCCCCCTTGATCGTGTTTTTACACTTTTTTCCAGGGGGATCCCCACCCCCCCCCCCCCTGGATCCGCCACTGGAGAGAGAGGGTGCAAGAGAGGGATATAGATAGACGGATAAGATAGAAAGATGGATGGATGGAGACTGATTGATGGAGGAGAGAAAGGGGGAGAGAGAGAGAGAGGGACAGAGAGAGAGAGAGAGAGAGAGGGTTTTGAAAAGGATCTACCTACCTTGTATTTTAAATGTCAATCTAAAAATTCCAACCTTTATTTGTGAGTGAATAATAAACAGAAAATGAGGAGCCTAACTTATCAAATTTACAATTGTAGAACAAAATTATTATTTGTCTAAAAGACAAGGGACTAACAAGTACAAGTTACTTTCTATTTATATGTATTATCACTATTGAGTCAATCGTTTTTACTTATTAGAAGACAACAAAACAAATCGAATCAAACTAAGAAAACACATTTTATTAATTAAGGCGATAGTATTTATTATTGTACTATATACATATTCAAAATTTCAACAATTTTCCACATTAACCTGGAGCAAAGTAAAACATTAAATCATTCCAAATTGAGATAAAATCAAGGTAGAATAAAACTCGTGAATCAAAATAGAATTTAACTGCAATTAAACAAAATCCTGGAAGAATATAATATTTTTGGTAACATTAGCAGGTTTTTAAATACCATCCACAAGGAATACGCTATTAAGAACACAGCACAATTTCTTGGGGGTGTGGTAGTCCTGAAAAGGACTGTTTGTTATCTTTCTTAGCATATAGTTCTAAGGAGAACTATCCTCTCCAAGCGCTATAGTTCTCCTTAGAACTATATGCTAAGAAAGATAACAAACAGTCCTTTTCAGGACTCCTCAACCCTCTCTCTCTCTCTCTCTCTCACATGGTGCACCCGCAAACCTACCGTATAAATATGATGTTGTAGAGTTAGTAGTACGTTTTCATTAACTCAACTGAGAGCGAGTAAAGATGATGATGATGATAATAATAATAATAATAATAATAATAACAGCAACAATAGTCCATTTTCATAATGTAACCAAATGCACGCATATGCCTTTGTCAAACGACTTGATACAAATGATTTTATTCCCCCATCACGAATAAATGTATCTCAAATATAATAGTCAGAATTCAAATTGCATGAATTACTCATTGCTAGGAAGGACAAGTAACATGGCTCGTCCTACCTAACAAGACGAAATATATGCAATTTGCATTCTGACTATTGAAACACAATTATTTGTAACAGGTGAATGAAATGATTCGTATTGAGGGACTAAGTATAAATTTGGCCAGATTACAATTCTTAATGGCATAATGCTTGCTTGCTTGCTGTGTGCCTTGTCTGTTATAGACATTGGCTTTACATCTGCTTCTATTTCTGGTTCTTTATCCAACAATGACAATGATATAACAATGATAATACTAATTACTACTTCTCTACAAATATTTCTTAACAAGTAATCTACAAGCTTTGTGGTGATTTTTAAAGTATGAACAGCGGTTCATAGATCAACAAGTAAAAACTGTTTACAACAACAGCATGTTAACTTTAGATTACAATCAAAACAATAAAATTGGTAATCCGACACAATAATACTAAGAAAAGGGAATTTTTATCATAAGTGTTAGACAAAACATAAAACACTAGATATCCATAATCTGGTAACATTTTAAATAACCTCCTATTGCACTTTACATCTATTTAAAAGAAACATGCCTGACAGATTTAAAAAAAAAAAAAAAAAAAGAAAAAGAAAAAGAAGAAAAAAAAGAGAAGAAAAAACCCAGGGTAAACCTGTACCATCAAATCAGTATATATAGAATACCAGCATCAAGAGATAAAATGTTTTTAAAAAAATTGAAGAACATTATTTATGCATTAAGAATTACTAGGAATTTCTTATACAAGGTCTGTTTTATCTTTGGTAGAAAAATGTACTGGACCAACATTACATGAATGACATCAATTTTTATAGAACAAAATGAAGAGACGTTGTTAAAACATCAAAGGAAATGGAAGACTTGTGTCACAGTTTCAGAAAAAAATTGTGCACCCCTTCTTGAATCGCAACAATAACCACAAATCACATTTTCACTGGTTAAATGATAACATGGTCAAAGGTCACCATATTTCAATAAATATATTCATTACAAATAAAACCTTTTCCAAGTTTAAGAGAAGGTTGTAAAGGTAAATTGAGAAAAACAATTTGTAATTTCTCATATTTTTACAATATCACAACAGAAAACTTCACCTGACAACGAATGCTCTTCAATGCCCTTGTACATAAAAAATAATGAGGAATAGCTGAAGAATTTGGACAAAATTCTATTCCTTTTGTGTATGTAGTTCCATATACCCATATCTGTGTGCAGTGGATATGATATTTTCGAAATATTGAATGTAATCTTCATTTTTATCATTCCACAATCTCAATTTACGTTATATTTTACTACATGATCTACATTTCTGAATTTCTACTTGACAATTTCTTTTAAAATGTGATCACATGACCAGAGCCCTGTCTTATACAAAATTGCAATTAATCACAACTTTTTTCGATTGATATCAATCGCAACTACATGTATGTACAAAAGGGATGGGGGACTGCAAACTTGCGATTGATTTGGATTAATTGCAACTCTTTGTAAAACGGGGCCCTGTTTCACAAAACTTGTTATCAATAACAAGTTACAAGCTACTGTTATAAGCTACTGAAATCATGGCATGTGATTGGCTGAGAGCAAATTTATCATGGAAATTTAGCACTTGTTATAGATAAAAGGTTTTATGAAACGGGCCCCAGGGCTCTGAACTCAACTTTAACATCAAAAGAAGACCAACAAAAATGTAAATACACTGTACATACATATACATATACATGAATAAAATACATAGACAGGAACATTCTATATCTAATATAAGTATGTAAGTTGCATTGTTTGGCATTGCCTTTGAGTGACTTCAACTATTCATTGCACCATGATGAAGGCAAGAATATCAAAGCCACTCTGTACAAAGATTCACATTATATCTATAAATAACAACAAAGAACTACAAAATTTTGCTTCTATGTAACAAAAGCAATTACATAGTCAGTATAAAATGCAAAAGCGATTATTTCCATGAATTTCACCCTGTTTGCAAGAGGGAAATTAAAAGTGCATATTGTAAAAATTCCACTACAAAATGCAAAAGTGTCAATTTCCATGAATTTCACTGCATGCTTGCAAACAAGAAATGTAAAAGTGCACATGAATTGCTGACATAAAATGCAGAAGTATTCATTTCCAAAAATTCTGCCCTATGTTTGCAAATGTGAGCAAATTTAAAATTTTCAAAAAAGGTGCGAATGAGAGATAATACATGAACTAGCATATTTCAAATTGCAGTGCTCATTTAAAATCTGTGATTATGATATAGGTCTATATGTAGGCAATAGGCAATATGTCTTATGCAATTAAAGTTTTTCATCTATTTATTTCATCAAAAAAAATTAAAAAGCTTGTAATTAGTTAAATAAGTTAATGGTCATACAAAGACATTTTCATTTCTATGCAAATCTTTTTTTTTCTTCACACAATCTGTTTCTTTAGTTTCCCCTTATATTATCCGCTTTCGGCTTTCTGTTCATTCTTGTGGCTAACTCTCATGAGTGCAAGAGAGAAAGCCTTAGCATTTCCGAAATCCTTCCTATTCTTCAATTTTGTGGTAGTAATCATCTCTTTAAAAGACATTTGTTTTATAGGACACATTGCACAGGTTTCGGCACATTCGGCGCAAGAAACTACCACATGGAAATCATCGCTTTCACAGTGTTCGTCTTTAATAAAAGTGAACCTTTTGAGTATAAATCTAACTACTCAACTATACACTACCGCTATAATGTCCTATTGGACCTTTTCTTCATATCTTGTATAATCGGCGCATAAACGCGAGACGGAGCATCCATCCCCCAGATGAAATCCAGATGATCATAGTTGTTGAACTGGTAGTTGCCTTGGAGCACCTTGGTCAGCTTGGGTATGAGCAACTGGACATCTAACTACTCAACTATACACTACCGCTATAATGTCATATTGGATCTTTTCTTCAAGTCTTCAATGATCGGCGCGTAAACCCGGGACGGAGCGTCCATACCCCAGATAAAATCCAGATGATCGTAGTCATCGAACTGGTAGTTGCCTTGGAGGACCTTGTTCAGCTTGGGTATGAGCCACTGGACATCCTCAGGGTCAGCGAGCCAGTCGTTCTTGCCCCAGAAGATGGAGACTGGTGTCGCCATGTTTTCTGGGATGTATAGGGGCGGGGTGCTCTGCAGGACAAAGAAAGGAACAAACCATTCAGGATTTTTTTTTAATTGTTTTATTTATTCACCATGTGAAATTATTGTTTACAGATAATAAAATTCAGTGGGTTATTTCGAGATACAATACATAGTAGGAACAGTGCATAAACAAAAAATGTTTGAAGCGCAACGTCCCTAAGATGTGATAGACCATTTTGGGCTTCATTTTGAGTCAGACTTCCTAAAGCCAATTCTGAGTGTTTACAGAGCTTCATTATGTTGTAAACTTTACCATATTTAAGGATCATTGTGAATTGTTACCTTGCATTAAAGTCAATATGAAGTGTTTCCATATTAGTATTGTTATCATGAAATGATTCAATGTGGTAAAGATGAGGCCAGCTAAACATAAACAAATAGCAAAAACTAGCAAACATGTCCATATGCTAAACATCAAAAACACAAATATACATATATATAGATCAGACAACATTTCCCCCAAGGCATGTGACATTTCATGGAATGTCTTCTTAATTATTATTGAAAGAGAGCGTGCTTAAATCAACACAATCATCGGTCAAATCTACATGTACATAGATCCAAGCCTTCATGCATTCTATACAACCAGAAGATTTCATGGGTATTTCCATTTTTGCCATTTTGTGAGTGGTTTTAGGTAGATCAGTACTTTTATTACAATAATGTGATTTACCTGGTTATATTTTGCCATGTTGTCTGTGTATCCATAGTCATACATCTGGAATGTGCCTGAATCAACCATCTACAAGAAAAGAAAGATATAAAATTTCAATTTATCATGTTCATTCCATTACATTTCAATTCAGTTTGAAAGCTTCATTTTCTATTTGTATAGCGATAATCAATTTTTAGATATAAATAAACTGTATGCATGAGGACTTTTAAATTACATAACTTAAGGAAACGAAACAAGCCATAACCAAATGAATATCAATATCATGTTTGACTAATGACTATTATTTTATCAGCACCAAAATGTATCCATGTTTAGTATCTCTGCTTCTCTTTCTCTGCATCTCTTTCTCTGTTTTTGTTTTACTTCCTATCATGGAAGTGCTTGTGTGTTTATCATGGTGATGTGGAATTTTGATTAGTTGCACAGAGATCATTCAGAACAAAATGAAAATGAATTGAGTAAAGTGGATAAGACAATTTAATTCGACTTCAAATTGGCATGGGTTTTAATAAATACTGAAGGTACTTATTATTTGAAGAAAACAAATCTGTGAAAATGAAAGTGGCCAGAAGGGGGGTAAATTTTCCTCTATTTCAAAATGGTGATATGAATATATTGCAACCTTTTAAGTAAATGACTAGGAGAGGAATTATGTTTTTTAGTTTAGTTATTTCAAAGTGCTTGGCAAAAGGAACAGACCGGTTCAAACAAACTATGGTGAGACCTGTACAGTATACAAAGATTGCTCAAGGGAGACAAGAAAAGTGTTCTATATAGGCAGGTGGTCTTCATGTACAGGTTCCTTTAGTACATGTTCAATGAGAAACAGTTTCTCAAGGGAAAAAACAAATGTGGTCTTTAGAGACAGATGGTCTTTCTATACAGGTGGTCACTATTAAAAGCAGGTTTGACTGTAGTACCGTTTAAGGCTTACCTGGGCATAGTGAACAACATCCATGACAGAGGTCCCAGAAGGATCATGATTGAAGTATACAGGAAGACGAGACTGGAGAGAAAGGGATATTGGAATTGACATTTGTTTCCATCATCATGACAATAGATACAAAGATAATATATAGAAGATCATAACAGATAACAATATCAAATTACATATAAATTGACATAATAACATTAGAAAATGTTAAGAGTATATGTAAGTCTAAATATGTAAACCACCACAGTACAAATGAAAAATGGTGGATCCATAAAAGGCTTGACAATTAAATGCATCTTTGGAATGCTTCTTCTTGTATATTAAACAATTCTCTTCGTTATATTGGTCTTACAATTTGGAATTCCCTACTTCCTTGTACAGTCTGTTTGTTTTAACAATTCATTTAAAAGCCTTTAGAAGAAACATCTCTTCTCTCTTTATATATGCATGATTTATTTGAAGACCACATCTCTCATAGACATACCAAAGTGCAATCCCCCCTTTTTTTTACACCAGTCTTTGTTATTTCATAATATTGTTGTATTACAGCAACAACATCTTTTACAGCTCATCCAGGCCAGCATAACTACAGATCAAGGTTTCTGAAATCACAGGTTTCATTTTACAGAAATGTATATTTAGCATACAAAGTTATTATTGCTTTGAGGTCTACCACTAGCAAAACAGAACACTTTCATTAGTTTCACTTGGGAAGTTATTTCACATGAAACCAAAATTTGAAGGTATGCTTGCAACTAACTTTTGGAGATTAACAGAAGTAAATTGTCTCATTAAAGGGGAAATCCAACTTTAGTAGGAAATTATTTGTTATTTTGTTGTATTTACATATTTTTTTACCTGACTGCTGAGAAAGCATTTGATTGCTTGTAAGTAAGTAACCAAGGGACCAACAGCTTAAGGTCCTCTCTGAGGGACTTGGTAATGAGGATCAATGTCTTACCAAAGGGCACTAGCCCATCAACTTGTGTTTAAAGACATATGTTGATAAAGGAATACATAATTTGGATTTTCTGTTTGTATACGCAGAAAACCTAAATGTTGTATCTCCTTTCATCAATATACGACTTCAAACACATTTGTTTTGATCATCCTTGCAGAAATGAGTTTTAAATGACATCCTTTTTCACATTATGATACAATTTAAGTGAAATTTTGCTTCAAAATTTTTGAGGCTCCCAACACTTTAGAGGGGTAAAAACTGACAATGTTAATGGAGATAACTTACCATGTTCAGGTTCTTCTCATCGTATCCACAGATGACAAAGAGAACATTAGAACATATCGTCTCTTCTATGGGGCAGAGATCTCGAGCAAGCCACTTGACAAACTCGTTGCTTGGATTGAATTCACCTTCGCCCAATATATCAAAGAGAAACTGGAAAGTAAGAAAGTAAATATAGATATTAGAACAGATCGTCTCCTCTATAGGGAAGAGATCTCGAGCTAGCCACTTGACAAACTCGTTGCTTGGATTAAATTCACCTTCGCCCAATATATCAAAGAGAAACTGGATAGAAAGAAAGTAAAAATTGATATTAGAACAGATCGTCTCTATAGGGCAGAGATCTCGAGCTTGCCACTTCACAAACTCTTTGCTCGGCAGGAATTCACCTTGTCTTTCGCCCAATATATCAAATATGATAATAAAAATGTTAAAAAGATGATGATAATAATGATAGTAATTTTATAAACAAGTAGCGGTGTACCAGTGTTTCTTGCCATAAAAGCTTTCATTTACAATTTTGGCAGAATTAACTCTATATGTCACAAAAGTGTCTGGTTTAACAGAAGCTGTCATAATTATATACCATCTTGTAAAGCGAATTCCTGGCAAATTTATCACTAAATTGTAACTGTGCCCAACTCCAGAGTTTCTTCCATCATACAATCTTACGTTGGGTCAGCATTCATATTACCATCGAACTCTAAGAAAATTTTCTATGGATCAGTAGTAATTTGAACATGATTCTCATGACATAGAATTCCTATGCCAGAACTTCAGGTTGCTGTTCGATAAAACTTGTGATCTACCACAACTTTCAGAAATAAATGATGTATCTGCACATAACCAATCAAAATGTAGGGAATTCAGTAACTTATATATTAAATTATACATAACAAGTTTGATGAAAAAGGTCCCAGATTTACTTCAGTTTCAGTTTTCAGTCATATTTTTTGTTTCCAACGGAACAGTATTTTGACGATAAATCAGATATACAATTCCAGGGTTCATACTCTTTCTCATAAATTTAATTCCATGACTTTCCATGACTTTTCTAGCCAGAATTCCATGACCTTTCCATGACTTTTACACATTTTTTTTACACGGTAGACTGAAAATTTGATCTCAAATCAAAGCGAAGCAAAGTGCATGTTTCAAGTCTACTAATAGAAAGGCAGCTTTTGTTATCTAGTTATTTCATCTGTTACAATTACATGTTATTTTTTCATCATATTCGATATGCACTGCTATATAATATTCTTACAATTACACATACATGTATTCATATCAACAATTGTCCATTTTTTAATGGCAATTTTCACTTCTAAAGAATACAAATTGCCTGTTCCTGGTTTCATGGACCACCATGATTCCTTCAATAGCTCTCCTTTGCATGTACAAGGTAACTACCCCCCCCCCCAAAAAAAAAGAAAACAAAACAACACCAACACACAAACTCACACACATACCATCACCAATTTTGATTTCACCAACAAAACACAGTAGGCCTACTCACATCAGCTGATGAATTCTTGTTTCGCTAGCATTAAGCTGGTCAATAATTTCTGAATGAGTTTTTTCTTGAGACATCTTCATGTAGCTGTTTGAAAGAAATCCCTCTACACATTGCACCTGTCTGAATATTTGGTGGCATTGGTAACAAACTGTCCAAGTTCTTTAATAATTCTTAATGGCATTCAGCTGTTCATCAATCTGTTTCTGAATTACTTGTAACTGGGATGCCTTCTCCTTTGCTGTACGTCGGAGGCTGTTTGATTTGGAAATACAAGTCAATCTTCCTTGTGACTCTGCTTCCTCAGCATACTTGTCTGCTGAGGTGTGAAGACTTTTCACATCTGCTTGCAGTCTCATTTGTTTGGCCTTTAGTTCTTCCAAACCATCCATCAGTCCTTTTCTCTTTCCTTCTTTCTTTTCCTTTTCCTTTTTACGCCTCTGTTCATCGAGATAGATGTGGTATTTCTGCCTGCCTGCAGACGCAGCCAACATGATTGATTTGTCAATAGTCACATTCTTGATTCCTCCAACATACTTGATATGGTCATAAATGGCCCTCAATGATATCAGTGAGTGTCCCAGGAGATTGTCCTCTTCAACTTCGTTGTTGATTGAGAAACCTCTCTCAATGGAGGCTTGTCCATGGGACAAGACAAGCAACATGCGGACCAACTTTAAGAGGGTCGAATAGCGAGACTCGGACAGAAATTTGCACATTACAGAGTCCAATCTCTCTTTCTTTGGATCAAAGTCTCTCATCTCTGCACTTCTTGATGCCTCATCACATGCTTCTGAGTATTCTCTTAGGATATCGTCACATGAATCCTTAAGTCTGTGGGCATCACTAAGGGTGTTAAGCACCCTCTTCAGCTTTGCAGTGGAGTTTTCTTTGTCTTTTGCCATGTTCTTTGGACTCAAGCATCCTATATTTCTCACAAGTGCATACTTAAGCGGACATCGCTCAATGAGCTTCCGGGTCATTGCAGCAAGAAACTTCTTTGCTTGAGTGCGAAATTCCAGAACTTTCAGCTCACTGATGATATTTTTCGCCTTCAGATCTTTCAGCTTCTTCTCAGTGTAGAATCCAATGTCCAACTTGGCCAAGGGCAGCTGAATGGCCTCACTGCTAACATCTACCTGCATTATCTTGTAAGGAGAAGTAATGGTACTCCTGTCCAGCTTTAAAAATCGCTGCATAAGGGATGCAAGCATTCTAGTAAGGTCTTCAGCTAAAAAGGGCAGCATTGGTGCATCAGTCTGATAGTCTGTTAGGAAAGGATTGACCAGCTTTGCAACAGATATGAAGAAGTACAGTCTTGCTAAGAAATCAGTTATATGAGTACATTTTGAAACAGTTTCAAAGGACTTGTTCTTTGGGTGAGGGATTTTCTTCTCTTCTACTGCTTTAACATACGCACATACACTCTCCCAGATGCTGATTGCTCTCTCTGCAACAGGAAGGTTTTCCAGCCATCGGGTCTTGCAAAACTTAAGTGGCATGGTATGATCTCCAGTTATCTTCTGATAATCCTCTCTTCTGGCAGGGGAATCAGAAAACAGGTAATACAAGGATGATAGAAAGCTTTCCACCTCCCAGTCAGCAGCCTTGGCACCTGTCAGAAAAGCACCATTAACTATATGGAGCCCGCATGAGCCTATATTCAGTATGGATTTGGTCAGGTCAGCAGTGTACTCTCGCGTAAAGTCATCATACATCTTCCAATTAACGTTGGGACCATCCATTGATATTTGCAGTAATTTTTCCAAGCCAACTGTGTGCAGAACTTTATTCAGTTCTTCCTTGAGGTGAACAGCTGAACCATGTCCGATGAACACAGACGTCAAGTAGCGAGTGCAAACTTCATTGTGTTGCCATGTACTTATGAGGAAGTCCATCTGCTTTTTCTGGAGCTTCTTGTTGAGGCTTTCATCAAACAGTATCACATAGTGGTTTGATTGTTTTATGTTGTCATAAAGGAGGTCTTGCACATATGGGCCCAAACCAAACACCGTCATATACCGACATTTTGTTTCTGACAACGTGAAACCCTTAGCAATAGCTGAGTCCGGAAACATTCTTTGAAAGAGCTCACTGTTGTGCTGGCAAGAATGAAATGATAAATGATCCTCCACCACTTTCAGACACCAGAGTATTTCAGCTTTTAAAGTTTCCTCTCTTGCAGCAACAGGAATGGGAGTTGTCACTTTAGAGGTTGATGGCGCACAAGTACTGGTTGTTGCATCTGTAGACGTGATAGATACTGATGAACTTTCTGCACCTTTTGCCTTGAAGAAGCTCTTGAGTGAGAGAGTAGAATCTAGGAGAAAAGAAAAAAATGTCTATTAAAATAAATAAAATATAAATATCATCATTTGGTAAGATTTAGGGCCGAGTCAAAACGTTTAACTGCCGTTCAAACGACCATTAAAAGCATAAACGTTTTCCTATTTTGACAACCGTTTGACAGTATGGGGAAGGAAAAAAAAAAAAATTCACGGCAACTTTTGGCCAATTGATGTAAGTCACTAAGACAAGTGGACTAATTTTTGACTCATTCCTTAAAAACATATTTTAAAGAAATAGAAAGGAGGAAATACTTCTCAAGGCAAGCAAACTGTTGGACCCAATTGTAAGTACAAAATTTAGTTTTATGATTTTTGGGGTCAATTTTAAGGTAAATTATTATTATTTTTTTTTTCTGCAGTCCACATACAGTGCCCGGTACAACACTGGCGTGTGAGTGCGGAGCCCCCTGGGTTAGCGTTCGGGCTGTTGCATGCAGTAACCTAGCCGGCCCGGCCCGGGGCCGGGGACGCTCCCGAACGGGCTGGTCGCAGTAAGCAGTAACCAATGCCTGCGAGGTGACATCGCATCGCTAAATAATCTCAAATCTTTCATTTTTATATAATTATTATCAGTCATTATTTGGATTCATGCTCAATAAAGGATCGGTAAAATTCACATTAAAAATGCTCACTTACGACGTTGTTGCTGTTGGAGGTTTGCTGTGTGTTTTTCACTCTTCTTGTGGCTCTTGACGGCTGCTTCGCCCATATTACGGACACTGAATTTACACATACAAACAGCACATCTAGCAGTCCCCAGATCGGAACTTTCTTTCAAAATCCAGCCACGGTAATCCGGGTGTTCTAACCAAGCATCCTTAAAATGACAATTTCCAGGCATTTTGAATATCACTTCCACAAAATTTGTAATGGTGAAAATATCCACGTGACGAGTTCCAAGGTCTGTGAAAATAAACAACTCCGTTTCATGAAGAATCAACACATGCACAAAAGTTTCAAAACACATGCCGTCGCGTCGATATATAGATCGTCAACGAGCTAGCGCTGCCAATTTGCCTTGTTGACACGTCAGTATTGTTCCTTTTTTATTTAAATAATGAAAATTAAAAAACAAATATTACTAATTTACTTTTTCCTCATTTATTGGAGAAGTGTAAAAATTGTAGTAGTCTAAGTGGTCGCAATTTAATGCAAAGCCAAAGTGCAATCGAGGCATTACATTCGTTCTTGGAGTGTCACATGTCGCGTTGGCACCATCATCATATGCACACACACACACTGCACACGTACACACGTGCGCTAGCTTGCTGAACTGAGCTAGCGCTAGCGAGCTCGCTCGCAAGCTAGCCATGTGCGCACGATGTGGACCGTACCGCCATACACTGACCATACACACGTAGTTCGTATCGTACACGTACACACCCACGTACACAGCGCTTATCCATCGATCATAGTGAACACATTCACAAGTACAATCAGTCGGTATGTTACGAATGAAAGAAAATACGAGAAGAAAATGGTTGAAATATCTCCATTTATTCACTTGTATAGTGAGAAAATACTATAGTTGTCCATAATTTTGATATTCCATGACTTTCCATGACTTTCCAATGGAAAAAATAATTTTCCATGACTTTCAAGGCCTTAAAAGCAATAAAGTAAAATTCCATGACTTTCCAGGTTTTCCATGACCCGTACGAACCCTGAATTCAACATTCAATGATATAATAGATTTTACATGGTTTAAAGTTATGAAATAGAAAGTAGACATAAATATCCCGTAATGGTTTTTTAATAGTTTTTTTTAAAGATAAACCTGTGGAAATGGAGGGATCCACTGAAAAGCAGAGCTTGTAAAATGTGGATCCCTCAAAATAATAACAAACTTTAAACAAGCCATTGACTTACTTGTATTTCTGGTAGAAAGTATGTTAGATAATGCAGAGGGCTGGTCATGTGACTAACTCTAGCCACTGGTGCCAAGGCATACATCATCTTCACCTATGGTGAGTGGGAAAGACAAAAGAAAAGGGAAAAAAATCAATAGAATGTGAAATTGTGAAGGTACAAAAAAGGAGACGCCTGAACAGACGCCTACAAACTTGCTCAGGCGACCCCACTATGAAACTGTGTCACGTTTTTTAGATGGTGACATTAAAGGTCGGTCCCCAGACGTAAATAATATCTGATTGACATATATATATTCATCTATGGAAGGATTCATCTACATGGATAAATTACAACATATGAAGAAAATTTATCTGATACAAAATAGACTGTGAAGAGATAGTAGAGCAAAGCGGTCATCGTACTACTGACTCGGGTAACAGATACACCTAAATGTATAGTAGGGATGAACAAGGAAATTAGAGATATGTTGCAATGGTATGTAGAACTGAAGGGCGGATGTATCATTTGCCGAGAGCATGGAAATCATTATCTCATATAGATGTAGTATGTCATATAGGTATACCTAGACATTGTGTATCCGGACACATCTTTGTTATTTTTGAAGAAGTTTACATCACTACACGTAATATTTCATAAATCTTTTAAGACTTTATTTACAGAATATAATAAAGGATGAATATTTAAGATGGTTAGTGTTATTTAATGCAAAGTTTTTGTTCAAACCTAAGGTAAAAGCGACCGTTTTGTTTTTGTTCAGCATCCGGACACATTACCCCCCCCTCCCCCCCCCCCCCCATCATACTTGTACATATATGCCCCTCTTGCTTCTAACAAACTATTCCGACCACTCAAAGCTGTAAACTTTCACCTATTGAGACTATTAGAACATAATAGTGTTTGTTTATTCTTCCTCTTTATCAAATCACCAAAGAAGGAAAGGGAAAAAAAGAATTATCGCTACAACTTCCTTCCCGGTTCGTTATAGCATGTGACTGATGGCTTTTCCACGTTCTTTCACTTTCAATACATGTATGCCTTCTTAAATGAACCAAGTCAGCTGGTGAATTGCTATTTTGTCTACAACAACAGAAAATGATAAAAAGACGACCTTAAAAAAAAAAATATATATATATACCTATTCCAATATGGTATACACCCAGCCTGTCTACTATCCACATGGTCTAATGAACATTTACTGTAGGCTAATACCCATTTGGTCTAATATCCAATTAGTCTACTGTCATTTAGTCTATTGTCTATTTAGTCTAATTTGTCTACTATCCATAAGGTCTAAAAAATCATTTAATGATTTGTTTATTATTCATGATTAAATGATTATTATACCATATACATGTAGATAGAGGACACGCTGGGTATAGACCACATGGGAATAGACCAATTGGCAATTAGACACACTGTTTCTAGAGCAAACAGCAATTAACCAGTCAGCTGGTACTTTTGAAAACCAAGCTCTAAAAAGAATGAAATGAACAAAGAACTTCCAGAGGTATATAATAAACTAGGGAAATAATTTTGCGAGGTGTTCACAATGGAGAATGAACAATTCTTTCTGGGGTTGATTGCAACATCTCTCCAATTCATTCTATCTTCTGCCATTCTGGTGCACTCTTGCAGTTTTAGTCCCTTCCAGTTCTTGACATTCTCTTCCCAGTTCATTCTGGGTTTCCCTCTCAGTCTAGTTCCTGCCACTCTTCCCTCCAACACATCCTGAACAATTGTATTTTTGCAAATTAAAGTTAGCTATGCATGCGCATTACAGGCCTGTCGAAGTCTATCCCTCTCAAAAAAAATTAAGAAGTAAAATTAGGTAACAATCTGTTTTGATCAACTAAATGCATCTTAGCAAGCGACAGAGTCTTTGCCAATCTATTTCAATTTTCCACCAACCTTGGCAGCCAGCTCAAAGTTTCTTGAGAACTCAGCGAAGGCAATGGTAGTTCCTTGTGAGTGGCCGATGTAGAAGAGATCTGGTTGGTTGGTTTCCTTCAAAGCGAGCCCAAGCATCGCTGGAAGATCAAACTTGGCCATTTCATCCCAGCTAGAGAAATGAAAACAAAACAGATTTTGGGTGATTAATTACAGGCATTCAGGAGCTATCTTTAAAAGAGTTGCCATCGATTCTAAACAAAACAAGATTGCCTTTCTCTATTAGGCCTTAACAAAAAGATGTTGTATTGCCCTTTAGGTGCCAACACATGAGTACGTTGGTCAATTTTTTTCATTTTGTAAAACTTTTTTCTTCTTCTTTTTTTTCCTCCCTCTTTCGCCTGATATTTTGAATGTTTTAATACATTTTTTTTTCTAGAAAAAGGTTAAAAAAAAAATTAAAAAGCCGACCATAGATTTCAAGATTTTGGGGTCGGTCGCAAAGGGTAATACAACATCCTTTTTTTAAAAGCCTTATGGTACATATGGGATGGTGTATATTTTTCATGCGAATAACAGCGCCACTTGTGTGCACAAAACTGAAATCCTGCAATTTTTTTACAACACATTCTAAATATCTGACTTTGACTTTGTAAATGTAAAATATTTCAGTCTGTACATTTACATCGTTATTAGTGATGTCATAATAATTAAGAAATGAAACTAAAGTGTTATGCAATCTCAATGTACACTCAAATCTACTTTAGCAGCTACCTGTATAGAAAGACCACCTGTTTATAAAGACAACATTTTTCATTTCCATTGAATACAGTTACTTATTGAAACCTGTAGTAAAGGAACCTGTACATGTACATGAAGATCACTTTTCATGTTCCCTTTCAGTGGTCATACTGTACAGGTTTCACTGTACATCAATTTGTGTCCTTCCTACCCGGTACATAACACATTTTGAGGGGATGAAAGCGCAACAAAGCATCCCTGGATTAGTGCCTGTAATGTCACCTTCAAAGTGCCCAATTTCTTTAACCCCCATCCCCCCTCCCTCTAGGTAAAATCAACACCAACTTCACGAACCTCCACTTCCAGAACTCCACCTGTTCGGGCTTATACTTGATGCTTCTCTTCGAATAATCATTTCCCCTCACATTACCCAGCCACACATCGAATCCCGCGTCCGCCAGAATATACGCCAGGCTCTCGTTGGCGAGGTTCGTCAACCAGTTAGTGGACGACGCCAGTAGGCCATGCTGGAGGAAGACGACCGGCCGTGGCGTGTATTTGGATTCGTTGCGACCGTACGGGATGCGCTGGACGCCGAGGATGAAGCCATCGTCGGTCTGGACAGAGTATTCTTTGCATGGGTAGCCTTTGCTGGTTATCAGTTGACTCTGGAAAACAGAATTGTGGTAATTTTGTGTGTCAATGTCAGTCATTTCAAAGTCCTTTAAAAGCCATGAAATCACCTAAAAAGTTGTGAGGGAGGGGGAGGGGTGGAGCCTTTGATATGTTGGGGCGTAGAAAAAAATAGCTCAGCTTGTAAGCTTGAAAAACTATAGTGGAACATGGACCCTAATGTTAGATAACTAGATAGAAAACTGCAGGGAAAGGGGTCACACATACATTGGACGGTCTCTTTTCAGTATATATTCGCTAAAGTTTCTTTCCGACATTTTCCCTTCTATAGGCGGTAGTTTGACATGTCTTGATTCAAACTATATTAAATAAGCCAGCGCAAAACAACTTCAAGCTGTGCAACATATCAGACTTAATAACTGAAGATCTAACCTAATTAGTCCTTACTCAGAGTATATTGTTGGATCATCATGATCATGTCTCTACTCCACCGAAGTTTACTTCAATTTCTTTTTCTAAACTCTGGTCTAATTGAACTTCATACTAAAAATTGGAAGCACATCATCAGTCAGTAGTTGGTGAGTAAAGTCTAGACAATTTCAAGCCTTATAAGGAAGGCCATGGGCAAGCCCCATCCTTTTAATTTCTTCTTCAAATATCAACAAAGAACGGTATTCTGTTTTAAATCTACAGCTGCCACGCCCACAGACAGAACAGGAAGGCAGAGTCCGTCTTCAGAAAGCTACATGAACTTGGCTACGCAACACAAACAACAGTGTAGCCTACAGAGCACGGGGTGCAGTGACCGTGATGATTACATAATCAAAATGCTGCCATGCTATTGGCCAAGATCGGGCGTCGCCCACAACACACCTACCACGTATATCACACTGCCTATCCCTCCGAAATTACACCACACCGATCCATTTTCAACGGGAAAATATGCTTTTTAGACAAAATTATGACGTTTCTTACCGCATTCCTGTTGACGTCCGGATCTTCCCCTAGACGTCTGTACAATAGATTATCCAACCTGAAGCCTGCGATCGCTCCAATAAGAGATAAAATAGAGAGAACCAGCAGAGGTTTCTGCGCACCGACGGCCATGTTTTCAATTTAATGAATGAGTAGTAAAGTCACGTGCATGCAGGTTTTGTGTACAAATAAAGATCGTGCGATCGTAGCAAGTCACGAGACTCGTGACTTACAAAACAAAAGACTCGCTTGGCCTTGTGTGTGGATTAAGTCAAGTGTTCGTTGACTCATTTTTGTGTATATGAAGATAACCTTTGTATTTTTATCGCGTTCGAGTTTAGGTCTTTTTTAAATACTAAATTCACTCCCAGTCTCTGATTCCCGTCACACCTCGTTGCTTAATCCCCCATATAATTCCACTCTTCTCAATAATGTTATCTTTCCTCTTAAATTCTCTCTCTCTATTCTCTTTCTTATTCTCGGTCACCTCTCTACCCCCCCCCCCCCCACATTCCCTCTCATCTCTTATTTTCTCCCGAAAACATGATCACAAAGACCTACTACATAGAATTCAACCCAGGGTTAATTTCAACAGCCTTAATAGTTGTGCATCACCCGATAAAGTATAAGCGAACGGTAAAATGATAAACGTGGACATTATCCGAGTTGGACATCTATGTATGCAATAAAAGCAGGCCATCCCAGTATATGAGTGAGGTGCTATTAGAAGGGATTACTCCATCGATTATCAGGAAGGGTGATGAAATTGCCCTGAAGTTCTCCTTTTTTCTCCCTAATAACTCTTTCCCGCTTCTCTCGAGTAATATGCAACAAATATCGGACAGCCACGGTCTACTTTTTACACAAAATGTCAGAGGTTGTCCCAGGTTTTGATCAATAGCTAATATAGAGTTCATATGCCATTATCCATTCCATATCTTCCTTCATCTCTCTTCGCCTCTCCTTCCAAATCCATTTGATATTTCTTAAGCCTATCTGCACTAGTTTAGCCAGGAGAGATTAGACCTCCCTGCATGGTCACTGACAGGTGGTTATCTCATGAAATCAGCTCTCAATTAACATAAGAAAAAGGGGACCATGGGGAATCAACATGCACCGATTAGGCATTGTTAAATATATAGAGGGCGCAAGTAGCTATAATTAGTGCAGTGGGGCTTCAAAGCCTATCTGCACTAGTTTGGCCAGGAGGGATTAGATTTTACTGCGTGGTCACTGGCAGGTGGTTATCTCAACAAATCAGCTCGCAATCAAACAAAAACGGGGGGGGGGGGGGGGGGGGGAGAGAACCATGGGGGATCAACAGGTCCCGCTTAGGCAATGCTTGCAGTTAGCTACAAGTAGTGCAGTCCAGCTTTAATAGCTCATACGATTTATCATTTTCTTTCAAGTACAAAACCACGAAAACCATGAAAACAACAAACACGATCGGATATCTTTCTTTCAAGTGCACACCTATGAAAAGGTTTCTTTTATTGTCAATTGTCAACCAACAAATAGTTGCTCCTGTACATTAGGCCTAAAGCTCTCAACTCCTAATACTTATATTACTACATTAATACAAAAATCTTGTATTTATGTACACATTACATTTACACATGCAATCCTTCACAAACCCTTTAGTTTTCCTTCCATCACAAAAGAAATTATCGACAGGAAGAAATAGAAAGAAAAGTACAAATATTAAATTTCTGAATGACAACATTTTCAAATCGCATATTGTCTCAATCCAGCGTCTGGACACGAGACGCATAAGTGAGCATATCCATTGAAATAAATAACGAGATGAAAATTCATTTATTCTCTTTTACATTCATATGAGCTGCCCATGATCATTTCAACATTATCAACACAAAATAAGAAGGAACAAAATGGAAAGAAATTGTAATAATGTACAAATCTAATTACATATCTATATCAAAGTTAATGTACACGTATGTACATCGTTAACATAATATATACTATAGAAAGAAATCACATTGTTTTTCTAGTCCCAGATCAAGTGAAAACAAGGGCTTGTTTATTTGTAATGGAAAACAAACATAGTATTGCAGACACTTGAAAAGTTAGAAAATGTAGGCCAAAATGTCATCGCTCATTCAATCAAAGACATTTTTCTCTCTCATTTCCTTTCGAGGAAAGAAATATTGTGTACAGAATAATTTATAACAACAAAAGAGAGGAACAATAATACTTACGAAAAAGGAAAGCACATGTATAGATAAAGTCATAAATAAGTTATGCTAACAATGGCACTGTGTATGTTAATGACTTTCAACGATAAAATGAACAAAGGTAGATTGGAATACGCTCTTCTTTCCATATTTCAAACATGGTCACGTGGGTCTTCCTTTTTGTGCAATGCTTCGGTTTGAAAATAATGATTGTGAGGGAAAATTCCTTTTTTCACGAATGCCTTGTGGAAAACTCTCTTTAAGACCAGGAAGAGGTGGAGCCACATCTTGAGCACCATCTCATACAGAATATGCTTTGAAGATTGGTCTACCGAAGACCAAAAAAATTAATTGGAGAGTATTTAGCTTGGTTAAGGAAAAAGATAATACTTATAGCACATTCTGTAAGATCAGTTGTATTTCCAAAAATGCATTCCTGAGAATGCATACTTTCTTTTGAGAGATGTATGCATTTTTGGATGATGCTATTTCCTGTAAAATTAACTATAATCTGATTTTTAACTTTTCAAGTCCAAATGTTAAAGTAGTCGCTTAATCACTACCAAAGAATCAAGTTTTTTTTTTTTTTTTTTTTTTTTTTTTGAGGGAGAAAAAGGCTTAACTGACCATCCTATTCAAAGATGTTGAAATAAGGGCTGACACTTTTTTCCAACCATGAGGAAATTATGCACAAGTTGTTTTTCTTCATCACTCGTGACTTATTATTGTGTTGCTCCTCCAAATAAATTAGGTATTTTTTGTCACATTTCATTCTATAAAAAATAAATATTCACGATATTCCAATCATTTCTCTACCCAACTCTGGAATGTACTAATGCCCACGCAGCTCTCGAACAACTATACAAATACCATTTTAAATTCAATTGTGTTTTTGTCAAAAGATGTATACCACATTTTCCCTGCTTTTTATACATCACAACTCATGGACAATATAATCGAGGGCTTGCCCAGCTTTTAAATAGAGCATATATGCATAATTTCTTACATAACAGGAATATGTTGAATATGTCAAACATATCCACACTTTTTACTTAGTCTCTGAACTGTACTAGGGCAGTTATATTTGGTTGTAATACTAATATATTCTTATTCTAATTCAAGGTGTTGGATTTTTTGATTTATGATTACAAAATGTATGCATAACCATCTGTTTATAGTTTTATACCAAGGCCCTATCTTATAAACAGTTGCGATTGATCACAACTTATCTTCGATTGTATCAATCACAATCGTACATAAGAGATAGGAGGCTGTAAACTTCTGATTCAATCGCAAATCTTCATATGATAGGACCCAAGCTCCCATTTTAGCAAGGGTTACACATGATGTAGATGTATGAAGTCATGTTTCGACAAAATGACTGCAATACCCGAGGTCTATCATTAGACCTTGTCATACCTTACAATTCCCAATGTTGGTACCTCCAACAACTCTCTTGAATTCACATTATCTCAGGAAGAAATAAGGCTTAACATTATATTTAAGGTTCTAAATAGTTCCCCTGCTGGCAGCGTTACTGAGGTAAAATAATATTTGTAATGTTTTTGCAAGGGGGGGGGGATAAATAAGATATTTGTTCACATTAATTACGCTTGATTGAATTTTTTTTCACACACCAAAAAATCACCAGACTTTGTGACATTAGCTCACACAAATGAATTACAATTCAAGATTTGAAACAAAAGATCAATTACACAAATCACAAACACATAAGAAAACAATACAAAAGAAATGAACAAGGAATTCCTCACAAAATCCAAACAAAAATTACGACTCAACAGAAAAAATGTTGACGAAAAGTCAAGTAAATCCCTTTGGCTGCGCTTCCTCACAAGAAAAACTCTGAAAAAAAACTCGAGAATTTGAGGACGCACATTTATCTCTATAACACTTCATTTCACATATGTCATAACGTTTGTCATCATAAAAAAACTTCTTGGTCCAGTGTCGTAGTGCTATGGTAGAAATGTTCAATATGTACATTATGCAGCTTGTAGACATTCCCCATAACTTGGAGACGATTTTGTACATAGGTTTTTGTACATCCACCTCTCCTCATCAACATCGAAAGACATTTGAAAAAAAATATTGTTGAGAAGAACATCTTGGATATTCTCTGCAAAAAGCCAGAAGGATGTAGCTCTATGTAGAGATTTATTTTTAAAGGTGGGCATCATGTGGAATTTGACACCATTTGGGTGTTTATCCAATAACAGGTGTTGTCAATCACCAGGGGGGTGTTTCACATGACTTGTCATCAGTGACAAATGACACTTGTTATTATAAGCTCCTGAAATCCTTGCTTCTGATTGGCTATCAGCAGATTTGTCACGGATTTCTGTCGTTTGTCATTGAAAAAAAGCTTTGTGAAACACCTCCCAGGAGTAGCCTTCAGTTTCATTGTGACCAACAGGCCATATGTAATGCATGAAATAGATCATTTTCCTCATGTGATGCATATGTCTTTGTGAAGTACATCAATACAAATATTTCATTTACCTGTGATGAATAATTGTATTATAATGTTCAGAATGCAAATTGGATATATTATGTGTTGTAAGGGAGGGCAAGCCATAATGTTTGTCCTACCTGACAACAACCAATGTATGCAGTTTTGCATTCTGACTATTGAAATGCAATTACTCAAAACAGATGAATGAAATAACTTGTATCAAGGCACTTCACAAAGATGTATGCATTAGATTTGGTTACATTACGAAAGTGGTATGTTACAATCGTGTGTTTTACTTGCTCTTGTCATTTAAAAAATCCTTCTTTTTAGAAAGAATCTCTACTAAGTATCCATGAACTAATGCTTACTGGTACCCCAATGCTGCATGTAACCTAATACAGAGTTATCTTTTTATAAGACATCGCCACAACTCCATTTGTCATTGGAGGACCTATAAAAAACAATGTATATATAATAATATCACCAAAAATGGAAGGAGTTTGGAGACAAAAGCAGGATGTGTTCCGCTGGGTCGATGACATTCTCAAGAATTATTGCTAAAGGGGCAAAGTGGCCCAATATGTCACTGGATATTTGGCAAAATATTTGCAACAATGTTCAATTCCGATTCACAAGACTAATGTAATTCTTAATTGAAAATGACCAATTTTAATTGAAAAGTAGTTGCATTTACTGATATAAAGACTGGATTTTTATCAATAATGACACCAAGTATTTTGAAGTGTTTATGTGTTCAGGTACACATCACCATTATCACTACACAACCAGGAACTTCAAGCGAATCCAGTTTTATTTTGAGACTGCAAAGAAAATGGGAAATACAGTTTTTAGTTAGTCAATAACAGATGACTGATAACCCAATGCCTGAAACTAGCAACAAACCTCTGCGATTATGTCTTAACATTTGCTGTGGAAACGGTGAAAATTAGTAAGCGGGGCTAAGAATATGGATTTGATAGAAACTTGGCATGTTGAGAAATATTTGCGAGTCCACAAGGAACTTGCAAATATGGATTTAAACGGGTGTATCAGAAATTTTGAGGGAAATAACTTTGTGCATACAGCGTATAGGCATCCCTTCATGATGGAAGATCTGGGACCCGTTTCACAAAGCCTTTTTTCAATGACAAATGACAAAAATCAGTCACAAATCTGCTGATGACCAATCAGAAGCGAGGATTTCAGTAGCTTATAACAAAAACCGTCATTTGTCACTGATGACAAGTTTTGTGAAACGCCCCCCTGGTCTCAAAGACCCAACTCAACCCAAGTGATGATGGCTAGATCATTAACAACAAAGTCTCAAGTTCAACTTGATGCAATTAAAGTCCTAAAAGACAGTTCACATTCTGAACCTTTTGAAGAAATCCTGCAACTTCAAATCGGATGTGGAACTGTAGCATCACCAAACATTGGGCTCCTCTTGCACTTAATCAAAAGTACTCCAACAAGGGTCTTCGCATCCATAACTATCTAGAATTATGGAGTAGTTTTTCCCCCCACATAGCCTCAATGGGGTTTTGTCATTTTAGGAGCTGTTGTCAAACGCCAATGTCCGGCTTCTCCAAGCAATTGATCTGGAGGAACTTCTGCGATATCAAGAAATCTAGAGTTGTTATCCCCACATAGCCTCATTGTTCCTAGGCTATGTCATCCTTGGAGCTGTGTTGTCATGACTCCAAAGCAAAATTGTTAGAGAATATTGATCGACAGGAGCTCCTAGAAGCTCTTCCCACATGAAGCCTTGCAAGAGTTCTGGAGTTGTTTCTGCTCACACGGCCTCACTGTCTCAAGATTCTTTATTGTTCTAGAAGCTAGTGTCACGAGTCCAGGTCCAGCTTGTTCAAGCACTTGGCCAGTGTTGTGGAGGATTCGGTGTTGCTGATCGCCAGGCTTGCCAAGAGGAGCTCATGCTTTCGGATTTCGCTGCCAAGATAAAAAATTAGTAAAAATGTCATAACGATGTCAAAACTAAAAGCAGTAAGTAATCTCTCAAGGCAAAATGGGGAATACAGTGTATATTCAGGCTATTTAAAGCGGGACTGCACTAATTACTCCCTCTATATAGCAAACAATGCCTAAGCGGTACCCGTTGGTCCCCCATGATCCCTTTTTTAAAGTTAATTGAGAGCTGATTTGATGAGATAACCACCTGTCAGTGACCACGCTGGGAGGTCCAATCCCTCCTGGCCAAACTAGTGCAGACTTTTAGTTTCACAGCCTAAAATTAAGAATCCTTCTTCCAAAGAAGGAATGGCTGGAAGATATGTCATGGACATGCATATATTAAGACATCTAAATGAATATGCATTTTAAACCTACTGTGACCCTACTGCATACAAAATTCACAATCCTGTATATAAAGACCGCTGAAGGGTGACAAGATATGTGGTCCATAAAGGCAGGTGGTCTCTATGTTCAGGTTCAATGAGTACTTGTTTCAATGAGATCTTTTAATGAGAAACCATATTCAAGGGACACTAAAAATGTGGTCTTTTCATACAGGTAGTCACAGTGGATCACCATTAACTTACCTTCTTCCAATGGCAGAATGGGTTGCAATGTTCTTGAGAATCAGAGCTGCTGTGAGGCGTATACTCTTAGTGACAGGTCCTTCATTTTCTCCCTGCAGAAACAAAACATAGGTTTAACAAAAATGTTTTTTAATATCCTGTGTAGTGTAGATAGTAAGACAAGGATATTTTTTATTACACATATAATTCCATTGATGGTGATTCCTTTGATGAATTATGGACAAAGAGTTAAGTCAAGACAGTAGTCCTGCTGACTGTTCTAAAAATTTCGGCCCAAATTCACAAAGGAGGTTTAAATTTAACCCATGCTTTAAACCTTCATTTACATAACCGATGATTTAAAATTAGCCCAAAGTAAGCGCGACACAGTCAGAGGTCCAATATGAGACGCGCGCAAGGCAAGGATCGCGTAATTTGCGCTATTTTTAATACCATGGGTTATATAAATAAGGGTTTAAACCAGGGATTTTATTTAAACCTCCTTTGTGAATTTGGGACGTCATGTCCAAAAGTACCCTATTCTCCACGACGTATATTTTCCTATCGCTTGTGCAAGGTAATTAGAAGGGTAAGATATTATTGCATGAATATGAATTCATTACGTAACTAATTAATAAACTGAGAGGGACAACAAATATTTTGTTTAAATCAATCAAAAAATTAATATGTCATGGCAACAACGGAATATGACCCAAAGGAGGCCCTTCAACAAAAAAAAATAATAATAATCTTTCTTTTGGTGATCTTTCAAATTTTCTATAAAAATAGTTTCTCTGAACATAAATGCCTGGGTGTTTGGGTCCTTAGCAGATGCGATCATTTCAAATATTTTTAATTATTTAAAACTGATTTTCTTACCAAGAACTCGTTGAGTGAAGGTGTATTGAGGCTCCTACGTATTGCATGGTAAGCTGTATGTGCGTTGTAGACAATGGGTGGAGGCTGAGGAGAGGAGTCCTGTGAAGGGGGAGGGGTGGGCTGGGCTGCACGCTGGGCTCGCTTATCCATCGATGCTTGAACGGCTTGCTCGGAACAGTGCTTATCCTAGAGTGCAGAGGTGATGGGAGACAAGGGGTTAACAAATCAGATAGAACAAATTTCTTTAAAGGTATAGACCAGTTTTGGAAATGCCCCCTCTCATAAAATGAAATGGAAGCTCTTATTACCAATCATGTGAAAGAATATGTTTTGGACTAATAAGTGATGACACAAATTTTGCCGGGAAACCGCCTACTAATATATATATTTGGTAAATTATCATATTTTTCCGGCCTGGATAGATATCGCGTAGTCCTACAGGTATGTACATCTTTCTGTGTACAGTGCTTGTAACTTTACCAAGACTGGGCCATATTTCTTATCATTCTGATGATTCCATAACCTTGCAGTACACACCAATACTTATATGCTAGATGATCAACCTTTTCAGATCGATTCCACAACGTTTCTTTCACAATGCAATCGCATGACCATACCTGGTCTTTAGCTTTAAGAAATCTGATACAACAAATTTTCTTTTGAGGTTTTGCATAATAATCTTAAGAAATATCTGTTTAATTTAGCCTTAATTCCTTTCCTATTGTACTTTTGTCTATTTATCATGTACTTCATCTTTTGCACAAGTTGCGCCTTGAGCATTTGATTGTCAAGATGATTTGGCGCCTTACAAATCTCATATATTATAGTGAGGTAGATGAGCCTGGAAAACTTAAATGGGTACACCATGTTTAAAGTCCTTATAAGGACTGACATATTCTTTCTTGGCGAGATGTAATAGTTCTTATAAGAGCTTTTGTTGGGAGAGTTCCGACAAGAACTGTATTTTCGATCTTCAGTTCTATGAGCCCATTTTTTCCAGAGTCAAATCTGATAGAATTTAGAAATGAGTGGCGGAGACGGAGGACTTACGCAGGTGAGGATTCTACAGTAGTATTTTTCAATTTCTTTGTAGCAGCCTAGCAGGTACAAAAAATACAATACAGGTAATGATATTTTATTTCTTTCAAACTTTGAAGGAAGAAAGAACAAAAAACAACAAAAAAAAAGAAACAAGAAAGAGAGAAAGAAAGAAAAAAATGCTAAATTAGACTCACCATGATGTGGCTTACAACAGACCATCTCTGTCTCTGGATGCGATCGCACCCCTCCCACTCACAGATACCCCTGTAGTTGATGCTGAGGATATGATCCATACAGGTATGCGTGTGCAGAGCCTTGCCAGACCCAAGCTTTCTGTGATTCAGACAATAAATAAAATGAATAAAAACTTGCAGTAACACTCTACAAACGGCAAGTTATATTTTTTTTCAAATTCACTGAACTTGATTAAGAAGCAAAATCCATTTTTAAAATCTCCTGCCTCACATAGTTTCTCATTCAGAATCCTAAAATCTACAACCGATACATAAGTAAAATGGGTAATATTTCGGCCCAAATTGTACTCATTTTCATTGTTACAAAGTCTTGTTTGATGGCAGAGATTTTAAGACCTTTCATAAAATCATTGAGTTGGCAACATATTACAAATAGCAACAAATTTGATTTCCAATGAAAGCTGGCGTTTTGATCCTATTCAATAATTACTTTTGAGATTTTGTTTTGTTCTTCGGCGCCCTTTGCTCCTGGCTCAAGTTTGTCTAGGGTCCAGGTTCAAATTGCAATTGTATTTCAGGTTAGGTTTAAGGGCAAGGGGTAAAGTTAGGTACAGTGTGTTGGTCCAGAGTTGGAGATAGGAAATGGGTTAGTGCAGGAAAGTGACAACGAAGCAAATTTCACCAGAGCATGTGTCATATCACCCAATCTGCACTAAGCTCAAGATGCATATTTGTACAATGTACGAACACCTGAACATACTCATACTTTTGGGTAAGCTTGAGACAACCGATATAACAAAAATAAATTACCAATACACTGATGTTTTAATTTGGCAAAATATGGTAAAAGGCATCGTTTAATAATGTTAAATCTGAGATGCATGGCCATACAGTGTCTGATAATCAGATAGGCGTTCGGCTTGTAAATGTCATGGGATTCCTGACTGGCCTAAAGGTTCATAATTATCATTGCAGCATGAGCTAAATCAAGGATTTTTTTAAAGGATCTAAGACTAAGTTACCAGATCCCTTTAAGACAACAGATATAACAAAATGACATTACCATTTCACTGATGGTTTAATTTGAGAAAACGTGGTTAAGACATAATAGAAATGAGAAATAATATAAATCTGTTTCTCACCTACAGCACCCCTTCCATTCGCAGACATACTTCTGAACCACAGGTGCTGATTTCCCACTAGTGCTACTCGACTTACGACTTGAACTCGACGTTGAGGAAGATGACGAATGCCTCCTTTTCTTACTGGAACGCGGTGTTGATGGTGAAGGAGGGGTAGGAGCAGGAGTTGTTGGAGAGGCTGCTGGGTTTGATGTCGCTGATTGCTTCGCGTCTGGAGACAATAGGACATCATCGATGGGTCGCTTGAAGCATGGGGAGGCAGTGGAAGGGCTAGGGACTTGGACAGTTAAAGGAGACGGTGGCTGCTGCGCTGGCAGAGGCAAGGAAGATTGTGCTGAGGTAGTTGATGCTGGAGGAGCGGATGTCGCCACTTGTGAGGAAGCAGAGGGCGTCCTTGCAGTTGCCTCTGAAATGCTCGTCTGATTGACGGAGCTTTGAGTCCTGTTTGAGGCAGCTGCACTTGTCTGGGTGTCACCAGAACGCGAGGTGGAGAGAGGCACTGACTGACAAGAGTTCTGCTGGTTGTTATTATTAGCATTTGCCACTGCACCAACAGTGACCGAAGGCACGGTACTGGGAAAACTGGGGCGGATCTCATGACAGAAAGCCACAAGCGACTTGGGGTTAGGAGTACTGGCGTTTGGAATGTTAGATTGGCTAAGGTTTGGTACTGCTCCATAAAAGAGCTTATCGAGTCTATCACTCACTGTGTTATTACTGTCATAAGGGTCTCTGTGCAAGGGGGATTCTGTGTGCGATCCAATATCACCGTTCATCACATGATTCAAACAAGGTTTTCCTAACTTGTCAGCAAGGATGCCATTTTCCGCTGAAGAAGACTTGTCCCTTTTCATTTGTTCCACAACACTGTCCACTTTATCGCCAATTGTTTGAGGGGTTTTCTTGAGGAGAGATTCAATGTCTTTGGAAGCTATGCCATCCTTGGCAAGTTTGATCCCGCTATGGAGCTTGTCGTTCATATAACCATTTGCCAGTCCTTGCTTGGCAGGAGTGTCTTGATTCAAAGAATCTACAGAGTTATTGCATTCATTGGCATCAGTCCTTGTGCCTACAGGTACAGGCAGGCCATTGCAAACAACACCTACAACCTTCTTATCCCCATCCTCTGATATCACATTGACCGAATAACTGCCTTTGCCGGTTTCCTTCTCACCATTTGCAGCCACTTGGCTATCTGCGAATTTGCTCTGATCGTCCTTCATGCTACCATTTTTGTTCTTGTCTCGCTCTTTGTCCTTGTCTTTATCTTTCTTTTTATGTTTCGATTTGTGGTTTTTCTTGGACTTGGTGTCCTTCATGTTCATGTTGGGGCTCGTGGTGCCCGGTGGGGCTGGCAGGATGGGTTGGTGATGAAGTTGGATCTGTGGAATGTTTGCAATGGTTGGAGCGGACTGGACAGTCATGCCCTGAGGGAACTGTGTGACTACTTGGACGTGATGAGACAAAGGCATGGGCTGTCCTTGCGTTTGAACTGTCATAGGAGCACCTTGCGATTGCCCAATGGCGTTGAGCACTATCTGGCCTTGCTGAGGCTGTATCACCTGTAGTTGCTGCTGTCCAGCCGCGGCTTGAAGAGCTGGTCCTTGCTGAAGCAACCTCTTAATAAGAGGCGAGTCCCTGTTTGTAGGGCTCAAGGGGCCCTGTAACCTCTGCATACCTGGGAAGCGTGCTATCTGCACATTCTGAGGATTCCCTTGAACCTGGGCGATCTGATGCTGCTGAATGGGCCTTGCAATTTGGAAATTTTGAGTCCCTTGCAGGTGTGACGGTTGTGGGAGTATAGGTCTTGGGCCCTGAACCATGGTAGACACTGGTGGTGGTTGTGGTAGAATTGGCTTTGGTCCTGTTCTTGGAGGGCCACTCACATTCTGCACCACAAGCTGGCCAGGATTCTGGGAGAGAATGGTAGCCTGGGCAAAGTTTCCTTGCTGTTTACTGTTGGTCATGATCATTGTCTGACCAGGCTGAAAATGTTGGACACCTGTTACCACAGTGAGCTGCTGCTGTTGGACTTGCTGCTGAACCTGACCTTGTCCTGAAGGCTGCTGTAATAAAGTCACTTGCAGAGGCACTTGCGTCTGGAACTGCTGTCCTTGGAAGTTTGTCTGGTTATGGATGACAGTCTGGTGGCCCTGCATTTGTATTTGCGGTTGCACCTGAACAAAGTTCCCACCTTGAGTTTGGATGACCGCGCCCTGGGAGTTCCCGACCACAGTTCCAGCTGGCATGCTTACCGGATGTGTTTGGACCATATTTCCAGGATGTGTTTGGACCATATTTCCTGCCTGTGTCTGCAGCATTGGCTGGTTACTATGCATTTGGACATTGACCATACCTCTTGAGACTACAGCTTGTGCTGGAATCTGCTGTTGAATAACATACTGTTGCTGCGGTTGGGACTGCGTCACCATTCCTGCTGTTCCTGGCTGTGTATTGCTGTTTGCTAATTGGTACTGTTGGGTAACCTGTGCCTGCTGAGGTTGGCTGAAGACTCCTGCTGGACTATGAGCAAAAGATTCTGGCATGGTTGTAACAAGTCCTTGCATTCGCTGCGGTTGAGGCAGATCGGGCGTTGATGTCTCCCCGTTTATCTTCGGTGTCTGAGATCCATTATCCTCAATGGTATCTGCCTCTGACAACATGCTCTCAGTTTCATCCATTGGAACGTCACAGGAACTCTGGTTGAGGACTGGGGAACCTGCAATCTGGCGAACGATTCCTTCTGCAAGATCTGTCCTGTCCTCTGCATCCTCATCGTCTTCATCTACTCCCACAGCATGCATATTGGGAATCTTTTCTATTCTAACCTCACCATCTGGCAGTGACACTTTAAGAGGGGGTTTGCACTTCTCTGTGGATGTATCCTCAGCCGAAGGCTTTGGGGACTTCTCTACTCCTCTGCTTGGACTCTTGCTTGATTGTCTTGACAGGGTTTTCCTTCCTGATTTCCCACTGTTGCTTCGACTTCTGCTCTTACTTTTAGAGTTCAATTCAATACTTGACTCTGAATTTGTATCAGATTGAACATGGTGTTGTCCATTTCCGGTCGGCACAGAAATTCCATCTCCTTGCTCGAGTTGATGAACTGTTGATGGTACACTGGCGTTTTGAGGAATCCCTTTAGGCATACTACTATCAACTTGTGCTACAGTACCGACAAGACTGGGCGCAACAGGAACATTTGATCGCACTGTTGTGGGTGTCCCAACAAAGTTCTGAGGTCCATTTAATACTTGAGCTTGGCCCATTTGTCCATTAACAGGCTTGCCATTGGATTGTTGCAAGCCAAAGTTCAACTGTTGTTGCTGGACTCTCATGTTTCCTGCAATGATGTCTGCAACGCTGACATTTTCTCCCTGAGACGAATGTGGTACTGGCTGTTGCAATGATGCTCCCTGAGCTTGTTGCTGCTGCTGCAGTCCTTCCGTTCGCTGTAGCTGCTTCTCACCCATAGGATAGCTTCCCTGCTGAGGCATTTGTCCTATACTTGGCACTGGTTGTTGCACTACCTGCGGCAGCATGACTAGCGCCTGGGTGTTGGGTGTGACAGCTCTAGGAGCCATCACTGGCCCCGCTTGACTGACTTGCCGACCACCTGGTGTATGAATATGTATCTGAGATGGCAGCTGTCCAGTTTGTCCTAGAATCTGTCCAGGAGTGGGTCCTTGACCATTTGGGGGAGCATGAGGCTGAATCAAAGGTCCATGGATGTGTCCTGGTATTTGTCCATGGACTTGACCGGGCAGTTGAACCGGAGCTGGTCCGGAGGGAGGTGCAACCAATTGTCTCTGGGGAACCCCCTGGGGAACACCTTGGTGAAAGATGCCACCCTTGGGAGGAGGAGGGCTTGGTGAGACAGTAGGAGAAGGAGAGTGTCTTTGGGCCATCCTGGCTATCATGGCTGAAGCTGCCATATTTCCTGCAATAGTTAGAAAATACAAAGAAAATATAAATACCAACTCAAGAAAGCACCATTGAATCAGGGAAAAAAATATTTAAACAATTTTGGGGGCTACTTTTCAAGCTTGCTTGCATGAAAATAAGACTCTTTAATTTATGTTGCATTGAACTCTATGCACATTTTAGGAGCTCTTTTATGACTTTCGGGGGCTCTTTTTGGCATTTCCAGGGTGACTTCACCCCGAACCCCGTTTATTTTTTCCCTGCAATGAATAAGAAAAGTTTCACTACAATATATTCTAAAAGACTTATCTTAAATAAAGATCTGTTGTACAAATAAAGTGCAAAGAAAAAAGTCGAATTGGGAAAAAATTGAAGAATCAGGTATTGAAACTTACATTTTTTTTCTCTACTGAAGCTCATAATGTACTGTCAAACAATTTTTTTGTTGCGTGCACGGTACTTACAAAATTGGCTAATGGTCCAGATTCACAAAAGTCAACGCCCAAAATTATTGAATTTCAACAACTACTGTTCTGCAATTTTGAAAAGGTCTTTGTGCCTGAACCGACTGGCGTAAAGAATTGATGAAGGTTTCTTGTTATTTTAACAGTATTTTGTGCTTTCTGACTTCAATTGAATGCATTTAGAAAATTTGTTTCCTCTTGAACAAAATTTGGAAGGAAAACTCACCTCCAGGAGAAGGTGCACTCTGATTGGCTTGCCATTTCCATGGCAATGGGACACGCCTTCTTTTGATGCCAGCGATGAGGAACTGAGGACCTGCCTCAGTGTCTGCTTTCTTGCCCTCTACTGCAGGGAAGACAATCCTGCAAAAGAAAAATAATAATAAATTTATATAGTGTAGTTTGTATACAAAATATATTTAGCTGCGCTGGTTCAGAGCTCCTTTTTTTACTAAATTCTACAAAATAGGATCTCTCAATTGAACAAATGTGTTTTTAATTTGGATTTGAAGACATTGAGAGATGGAGTGCTTCATATTTCTATAGGCAAGCTATTCCATAGTTTGGGGGCAGCAATAGCAAAAGCACGGTCCCCGAGAGTTCTTTAGTTTTGTCATGGGGAATCTGGAACGATAATTTATCTGTGGAACTGAGCAGGCTACGACTGTGTGACTGGACTTTGAGTTGAAGTAATTCTGTTATGTAACTAGAAGCTTGACCACTCAATGATTGAGAAACAATTAACAACATTTTAAATGAAATTCAATAAACATAAACAAGCATTAAAAGGAAATCTAACCTTGATAGTCAACTTTTCTAGAGGAAAAGAGAAATATCAGAGAAGTAGACTTGTGGCAGTTTGAATGAATTCAGACTATGAATTTTTGAAACTTGTAACCACTTTAAGTATTGGCTTTTCAAATTGGCTGAATCTGTAATGTCCCTGTGCTGTAGTGGCGGACAACTTTTTCATTTGTCCCAACCACAAAATGACTAAAGTTTTGATTTTTCAAAAATCTATGACTCAGGAGGGTCTCTTCTCTAAAGAGGACCAATATCCATACTATATTTTAAGTAGTGACCCAAAAGAGGAGGAACTTAAGGAAATAAAATTATGATATTTTTCTACACAACAAACAGTTTATTGATATAAAAAAATGCTCATGCATCTGTTACAGCTCATATTACATATGTTATTACCAAAGGAAAAAAGATTTCAGTCAGTCACTCAATAGTGTCTAACAGTGAAGTCAAGAAGGTAAACAGATTTCCTTGCATAATTTGAATACAAGGACGCTGCTAATGTTTAAATTTCACAGATCATCTTTAATGATCTTTCTGTTTATTTCTTATGAATGGCCTGAGCGGTCCCAAGGAGCTAGAGATTAAGTCACTTACTTGACGCATCTCATGAAGTCGTTTGAGTTGAGGATGTTTCGGCCCATGATCTTACCGCACACCGACAGGTACTCTGCAAAGAGGTCTATGTTGGTGATTGATGCCACTGGGTCTGTGTCGTAATGTGCACCCAACCTGAAGTGGAATAGAAAGAAATCAAATAACCAAGTAATGAATAATTGGATGGATAGATGGTTGGATGGAGGGATGGATAAATGGATAGATGGCAGGAATGAAAGAATAAATGTATAAAAGAGAGAATGAAGAATGAATGAAAGATGAATAAGTGATAGATTGATTGAATGAATAAATGAGTGGTTGGAAGGAATGAAACATAAATGAGTACAAGAATGAAAGAATTAAAGAAAGAAAACAAAAAGGAATGGAATTATAACCCCAAAAAGAAGGATAGAGTGAAATAATTAAATGAAAGAATGAACAAATTATGAATGAATCAATGAATTACAGACTGACTGCATGAATGAACGATTGGAAGAAAGACTGAATGAATGAATGAATGAATGAACTTTATTAACCAAACGTGATCCAAATAAAAATATAAAAATTCACATAAGTGTGTAAACAAGGAATGGATTAAATAGTGACTATGATGTAGCGCCCGTTTCACAAAACCATCATAAGAACAAGTTCACAGACAAACCATTGTAGCGCTTGATTAAAGGCCGGCTGAACTAGTTTAGCCAGGAGGGATTAGACCACACAGTCTGGTCAATGACAGGTGGCTATCTCATCAACTCAGCTCTTAATTAACATAAGAAAAAGAGGATCATGGGGGACCAATGGTCACCGATTAGGCATTGTTTTCTATATAGAGAAAACAAGTAGCTACAAGTAGGACAGTGAGGCTTTAAATCTAACACGCCTTTCAATGGGATGTTTGTGAACTTGTACTTTATGACGGTTTCGTGAAACGATGCCAGGGGCCCCGTTTCACGAAATCAGTGACAAATGACAGTCTTTGCTATAGGCTAATGAAATCCTTGCTTCTGATTGCTTATCAGCAGATTTGTCCCTGATTTTCTTGTTATTTGTCATCGAAAAAGGCTTGTGAAGCAATGCCCAGGAGTGTCACTTACCACTGGCAGGCTAAGTTCTCCATGTCTGCTTCCCTGGCCTGACCTCCTTGGGCTGGTGGGGGCGGGGTGGGTGATGCAGACGAGTTTGAAGGCATTAGAAGAGTTCCTAGGAAGGAGAGAGCACAGGGATGTATGTGTAATTAGACAAACAAGATTGAATCTGGGCCCGTTTCATAAAACTTGATATCAATAACAAGTTACAACCTACTGTTATAAGCTACTGAAATCATGTCATCTGATTGGCTGAGAGCAAATTTTTCACAGAAATTTAGCAGTTGTTGTAGATAACAAGTTTTATGACATGGGCCCCTGGTATCATTGCTGATTTGATCACCGACATGGCACTAATGTCCTTTGGCAAGGCATTAATCTACATTTGCTACTCAATACCCAAGAGAGAAATGGGGACCCGGTAGGATGACAAAAGCATTTGTGTTAATAGTAATTATTGCCTATGCCCACACGATGACCATATGGTTGAAATACACCCCAGGGAGTGGAGATGGTGCACACTGTGCGTTAATGAATTCAATGACCGGGGTAATAATATCTGTAAAGCGCTTAGAGACGGTATTCCGTATTTAGCACTTTATAAATCCAGATTATTATTATTTACACCTCAAATTTCAAAAACTCACATTACAGTGAATAAGTGAAAAATTGATCATATAGGGTTGCCCAAAAGAAACGGACAAGAAAAAAAATTATTTTACTTTTTTCTAGGACAGAAATGATAAAACACACAGCTAAATTGGCATACTTTTGGATTTATCAGGAAATATCAGGAAAAATCAGGAAATAGGGGTGAAATCCGGGGGAAAAAAATCAATCAGGAAACTGATTTAAATCAGGTAATTTTCAGGCCTGGTTGTGACTTACTTGGTTGCTGAGATGCTGCTGGAGGGGTGTGGAGCTTGGCCGGGGGTTGGGGAGGGGCGTTGTTGGGCGTCGTCATCCCCGGTCTACCCATAGTGACGATGGGGTGATGGATGCCGTCCGGAACATGGTCGACGATCTTGATCCCCACGAAGGCGTCGGCGCCTAATGACTGGGCATCCAATGTTATAAGGCATACCAGCACATCTGTCGTGGGTGAGATCAGATTTCAAAGTGTTAAGGAAATAAAATGTTCGGCAAAAGGCTTCGAAAGTCTTATAAAGAGTTGCACTCGGTTGCAAGTTTTCAGTCTCCTATTTCTTATGTACATAGTTCAATCACGAATAAGTTGCCATTTATATCAACTCTTCATATGACGGGCACCATTTACTACTTGAAAACATCACTGAATATTCAAGATTTCAAGTTGATACAAAAAGAAGTCTGCATCTATCTCAATTGTTTAGAAGAAAATAAAATTGGTAAATCTGCAAACAAAGTGATTATCTTTTGGTGGTTTAAACAGAAATGTTGTTCTTTTGAGCATCTTTGTTTACCATGTCCATCAGTATCAACAACTAACCAAGGAGCCTAACCTACAAGCAAAGTGCAAAAATCTTACACTACCTATATTACAGACAAAATAAAGCCATAACAAATGTATGGGCAAATGTGGGATTATCTGACCTGCACTTTACGACAATGTTTCATTATTGGAGCAGTAACATAAGAAATCCCATCTATAAATCCAGCTAAAAATATCTTGAAATTACAACTGACTAATTAATGGCAATGATACCTAAACATTATTTTTAAATCAACACAAATCAGCAAGTGGTCAGATTGCTAGATATTTTTTGTTTTCTTTAATAAAATGGGACAAATGGGATGTGTGGAACAAGACACATTCAACAGAATCACACATTACATCCATACTTTCAACAACCCCCTCTTTCTTTTTTCTTCTTTTTTTCTCTCTCTTTTTTCCCTTTTACCAAATTTTTTTCCTCCATATTTGTATTATTATGTATCCATTGAGGGTAGTCATGCTATTAAGCTTTGCTTACTTTGTCAACCCTCCTGTTTGATGTGTTCGAGTAATTACAGCCAGCCTTACTTTATTCTATATAAATTATATTCTTTTGTCATGTGTGAAATTTGCAATGCTTTGTTATATATTTGTAAAAGTGCAAAAGAAAAAGAAAATCAAACAGAAATAAATAAATAAATCAATCAATCAATCAAACATAGTTCCTGACCTATGCTACGATGGACACTTGAAAGGCGGGTGCAGAAGGGCTCCTCCCTCTCTGACATGACCAGCATGACCTCTAGCGCCCCCAGGAGCAGCTGGATGTCGTGGATGGTGAGGAGGGTGACGATCTTGACGTAGATGGTGGGCTCCAGGCATCGCTGGAACAGGTCCAGGTTGTTGTCCACCATCATGAGCTTCTCGATAAGTTCCATTGCTGCAACAAAACAATGAATGATAAAATGAATGATAAAATGAATGATAATAATAGTAATAATAACAGTGGTTTTTACATAGCACTCATGTCTGTTAGACTTGACATTTCTGGCGCTCCACAGTTGTTACCCCGGTGTCAGCATGGCTGGCACTCTAGCATTCCAAGGAACTAATTCATGCCAGGTACCAGGTACCCATTTACCTCACCTGGGTGGAGTGTTGCAAATGTAGATTAATGGCTTGCCAAAGGACCTTAGTGCCGCGGCGGGACTCAAACCAAGAACCATGTGATCCAGTCAGGGGTGGAGATGCATTTTAAAGGAATATTCTCCTGAACTAACAGAACTTAATCACACTAGTAATTCAAAGTGATTTTTACAGTCCAATTTTCATGTGTGCATAATTGATCATTCTTGAAGTTACATCGTCATTCACTATCATTACACTGTTACTTAGCTCCATTACTAGATGGGTTTCAGAAATAAATGGAATTGAATATCGAGAACAATTTATTAAAATTTTTCATATTACTTGATTCAAACCATTATTATTATCTTATTAGAGCATTGGTATAAATACATGTATTTAGTTGAATTGATTTCAATCTTTGATTTCTCATTGGAATTTTTCTGTTTTTATCAAATTGGCAACCTTGGCAGGAAAGAAAGAAGTAACTTACATCTGATGGCGACAAATTTGTCTGAATTTGAAAGTAATCCTTTATGAATCGTATGCAGCATGAGTTGTGTACTGACGTAATCTATGGAATCTAGAACAATCTGTGAACAAAAAGAGAGAGAGAGAGAGAGAGAGAGATATGAAATAATAACAACAACAACAACAGTAATATTGGATATTTGTATCACGCACATATCCACCATGCAAGGTGGCCCAATATTACTCAGGTAGGCTACCATTTATAGTGCTCACAGAATTCAAGGAATTCTTTCCTTACGGTACCCATTTAACACCTGGGTGGAGTGTGGCAAATGTAGATTGATGTCTTGCCAAAGGACATAAGTGCCGCAGTGGGACTTGAACCTCGAACTTTGTGATTCACAGTCCTGCGACGTATCCACTGGACCACGACACCTCTACATAAACATCCACTTAGATAATAAATAAAATACAAAGTCCTAACAACAACAATCAGACCGGTTTGTAGATAGCACATGGTACAAATGACCCCAAATATATGTGAATTTTTTTAAAGCCTGTCTGTATCAGTTTGGACAGGGGGGATGAGACCACCCTGCAAGGTCACTGACAGGTGGTTATCTTATCAAATTAGCTCTCAATTAACATAAGAAAGGAGGATCATGGGGGACCAACAGGCATCGATTAGGCATTGTTTGCTATATAGACGGCGCAAGTAGCTATTAGTAGTGCAGTGGGGCTTTAATGTATCACTTACGTGAAAAAATAAAAGCAATATCTTTGTTTACCTTTCTGTTGGAAATGAAATAAATATGAATATGAATTATATGAATACATATTTGCAGAATAAACCACAGAGTTACACTACTTACGTGATTGCATATATTGGTGAGGGTATCCATGCCCAGTTGTTGTAGCATCGTGCAGGAGTTATGAGCTAGGAGTAGAAGGAATCTGTAGAGTGTCCGATGGCTGGCCATGCTACTGATGTGATGGCTCTCAAACGACAGGTTCCTGAAGATGATCGCAATCTGTGAACATACAATAGTATACGATCAATACTAAAAAGTAATCATTAAGAATAAGATGCTGTTGATTTTATTTTCTAGACCAACAACAAATCCACACAGGTCCTGTATGTTCTCTACAAAAATATCTATGCCTTCAGTAGTAACCTTGCACAAGCCAATGGAAAATTGGAGAGAAAAAAAATCTTCTAAAATCATTACATTTAACAAAGACAAATTCACTTTCTGTGTTTAGGGTTCGATGCTGGTATACTAAATTAGAAACATCATCGATAAACACTCAATCTTTAAAAATATCTAATGTTGTTTACCTGTAGTATTCTCTGGCCTTCTACATCGGAGAGACCCATCTTTCTTACGGCAAACAGCTCCACATCCTTATACTGTCTCTTATCTAGAACGAGACAACAAACAAGAAAGAAGTTTAAGAGTATGGAAGAAAAATTTGGAAAATGAAACAATTAAATTGAAAACAGAGCATCATGAAATGTAAATGGCATCATACAATATTAATACAGTCAAACCTGCTTTAGTGACCACCTGTCCGCAAAGATCACCTGCCTGTAAAGACACCTTTTGTCTCCCTAGGGCAGGGTAGAGAAATGGAAAGTCCAATTGAAATTATAGTTTCGGAACCGACAAACTATAAGTAACAGATTATGATGTGTCTACATAGTTCATGAAACCTGAACAATAGTTAAGTAAAATAAAGATAATGAGAATTTTGGCAAGGCATTAATCTTCATTTGCCACACTCGACCCAGGTAAGGTAAGGTAAGTGGGTACCTGGCAGGAATTAATTCCTTGAAATGCTGGAGCTCTGTAATGGCAGCTAGGCTAAGGCCGGGTAATAAAAAATCCGCCTCGAAATAGAATTTCTAGATAGACGGAGCTATAGAAATGCCTATTAATAAAGTAAGAGTCATTATTTACCTTCAGGTTTCTTGGATCCCGGACCGATGACCTCTCTGACCTCCTTGTCTGAGATAGTGTCGTACCAGAACTGAACAAACTTTCTCTTTGTCTTCTCCATCCAGTCTTCCTCGTACAGCTTCCTCAAACTACCTGGGCCTGAGAAAAATAGAAATCACAAGTTTAAAGGCATCGTTTAAGAATGTTAAATCTGAGATGCACAGCCCTACGTTTTATTAGTGTCTGTGGATAGGTGTAACATTGAAGCCCTAAAAAAATTGCGCTAAAAAATGAGAAAGAAGTGCCTCAAAAAAGTAAAAATCGTTGAGTGACCGGTTTTTACATACTCAGTTTCCCCCATAGAGTGTAGTGTAATGAAAATGCCAAATTTGATTTTGATTTCCAATCATAAATATCTTGATAATTAGACAGGTGATCGCTTGTAAAAGTCATGGTGTTCCTGACTGACCAAAAGATTTATAGTTGTCATTGCAGAATGAGCTAAATCCAGGATTTTAATTCAGAATCTGAGACAAAGTTACCGGAACCCTTTGAGGAATCAAATTCTAAGCAAGATTTGCCTGACATCATCTTACCTTCATAGAAGATTCCTGCGTGGGCGAGTAGGAGGTCGATGAGCATTGGCGCTTTCTCCAGGTGGATGACGTGTTTGCCTTCGTTGGATAGCAGTGTGCAAATATTGATGGCGAAGTCCACCTCGTTGGGGAGACCGGACTGGAGGGAGTTGAGAATGCGGTCGTATTCCGAGGTCCGGCATTTCTCCTTCGCGAAGCCATGTGACACCCGGACTTTGTCTGCAAGGAAAGTTGAATATTACGGTCAGCAATGAGAAAACTAACTCGTTCATCCCCAATTCCATACATGTGTAAAATCCAACTGTGACTCAATTACTATATACATATGGCTATCTTTAAAATCATATACATGTATTTCCTACTCGATTTTGAATTGTTATTGTTGGTGAGCTGAGCTGACAGGAATATTATGAGGCATGGTAATTGTAGACAATATGAATGTCAGGTGCACATACACATTATAAATAATTATTAACCGTATCAGACATCTGAGCAGGGTAATTTTTAAATGTTATTGCCCTCAAGGTTTGATGGATAAGTCAACAAAATTACAATAAATTAGTCCGCTCAGAAAAGTCAATGGGGTTTTGTGAGTAATTTGGCGGGCAATATAGGTTATACAGAAAACCAATGCGCAAATATTTTACCCCGCTCAGAAGAGTCAATGCGATTTGTGTGTAATTTGGCGGGCAATATAGGCTATACAGTAAGTCAATGGACAAATATTTTAGCCCGCTCAGAAAAGTCAATGGCAAAATGCGTGTTAAACTAGTGCGCAATAATATAGTGCCAGTTGTAATTTACATCGCGCATCAGCTATTGTAATCTACATCGCGCATCGTGTATAAGAAAATGCGCACTTTGCGCGAACTCTCATTGTGACATAACAATCACACCCAAGGCAAACTGTTTGCAGTGTATCGAAAATCTGTCAAACACTGGATGAACAGTGCTGGTTTGACAATGTTTTTGCAACTTATAATGCTAGGAAACCCTGTGTAGCCTACATAATTTAAGAGTATAAGATAGTAAGAGTTTCTTGTTTGCTCTAGATGTCTGATGTGGTTAATAATAGTAATATTGACTGCCTAATTCAGGGCAATACGACTTGTCATATATCACCCTCACCTTCGGTTCGGGCGATATATGTCGTATTGCCCTGAAGGCAGTCAATATTACTTAATTATCCATATTTATGTACATCGTTTTCTATTGTTAAATTTTGTATTGTAATTTCTATCATTTGTATGTTCACTGTAAAAAAAAAAAGCCACTGGAAGCAACGTTTCTATGTAATGTTTGCATGCACAAATCTTGAATCTAAGTCAACTCTCTGACTTTGTCTGCATGGCAAGATGAACATGACTAGTCAGTAGTGAAAAAATAATCAATCATAGTGCCTCAGTCACATCGCCACATCAACTCCAAACTGACTCTGAATTGACCCAATTCTCTGCTATTGGGAGTAATGTACCGTTTTGTTCAGTACGATTGTCCGTCCCGTTTCATCAGTCTTGTCCATTCGCATACAGAATAAGTGATGAGAGTATGCGCATCGACCTGAACCTTTAGGATGCTAATTTTAAATCTGGTTTGATATGATTTATTTAGTCCATATACACCAAAATACATATACCGGTACATTTACAATTAAGTACAGTGTAGATGTACAATACTGAGATAAACTTGAAGCGACGTCCATGATTTCAAATCCGTTTTAAAAGACCGTCACCACTACTGGGCCAGAAGGGATTAGACCACACAGAGAGCCATCGAGGTCACTGTGACACACTATGAACATGACTGACAATGAGAGCGGACAAAATATACAGTTCCTCAGGTAGACAAAGGAACATCCCTTCACAGCTATTATGTAAAAAGGTGAATATGCATGTGACACCTGTTCTACACATTTTTACATAATAGCAGTAAGGGATGTTCCTTTGTCTACCTGAGGAACTGTATATTTTGTCCGCTCTCATTGTCAGTCATGTTCATAGTGACAGGTGGCTATCTCATTAACTCAGCTCTCATTTAACATAAGAAAAAGAGGATCATGGGGGACCAACAGGCACCGATTGGGGAAGTTTTCTATATGGAGGGAGCAAGTAGCTACAAGTATGGCAGTGTGCCTTTAAAAGCAAGTAGAAAATTCAAATCAATAGATTGGAGAAAATGTGACAAATGATGTGTAGAGAATTACAAAGAAATGCATTCGTTAAAGTTTTCATTGATCTAACATTTTGATTAACCTTTAGAGCAGCTCCGTATTTTCTTTCATACTGAGTGCCCTCATCTTACATGTACATGTACTGTAGTTGCTGATGAATGAATATAGCTATTGTCTAGAAGTCTATGTATTGTTATTAAATCATTAACTATCGGCCGCGCCTTGAAAAATGTCACAAAGCCGATAGACAATAACCAATTATGTGCCTGCAATATTGAATAAGTGATCAGAGGCCTAGAATCATGATCAGCAGTAAATACAAAATTAAAAAAATAATTTAAAACAGTATGCGGCATGCCGACATCTACACAATGTAAATGTACAAGTACTTGGCGAGTTTAACGAGGACCTTGAATACTAATCATTAGTAATCTACATAATGAATGTAATATCATAATTTGGCCTCATGGTCAACACTAGTCTAAAGCATAGAATTGGAAGTCCCCTCTACAGTATGAGATATCATCTGATCCGCTGCTTCCTTCCTGTACAACCTGGCCCCAAGTAGCAAAAATCAACACACTCCACATTTACTGTGCCAGACACAAATGACAGTTGTTTTATTTTTGCTATTCATATTTTGCAATATTTCATAGTGTAAAAGTCTATTTTCATACACATATTTTGGAGGGGACAAAACTTGGCAAGTGTGACCCTGACTTACGGTAATGGATATGATATGAGCTTTAAAGAGGAAATCTTTGTTGGTGTATTGCCTTGTGTGAATGTTACAGGAAAATACACTTTATATTGACAAAAAAAAACACACAAAAAAAACATAGTAAACATGCCATTCACAATGTTGTTCTCATTAAAACATTAAAACATGAAACTGTTTGATGAATTATATTTGGTGTGCTGCATAATAGTGCATTGTACAATACACATATCCATATTGAAAACCAAAAAAAAAAAAAATACTGAGCAAAAATGTAAAACGCCGCCGGTTCCCTGGTTATTAACATGTACATAATACTGTACAAGCATACAATGCTTTCTTTCGCAGTCAGGTATAAAACAAATTGTCAATCCAATAAAAGCAACAGCCAATCAAACGCCACCATTTCAGCCAATTCCATCGGTTATAACTAGTTTGTTACTGATATTACTGTAACGTCGTAATTCTTAAGGAACAGGGTCCCTTGTAACGACTGAAAACGTTCCCTTTTTTAACCAAATGGAAGTATCTTTGACGGTCATAAGAGCCCATTAACTGGATGATAAAACACAAAATCAATTTACATAATGTAAGCAAGTTTCTCTCGATATGCAGTTCTATCATAAGAACCCCAGATGAGGTTTAAAAGGAAAATGCAAATTCAAATGTCTTCATTTGCACAAAATTTTGTAAAAATAGCTCTTAGATGGTGAAAGACACTATGATAAGAGCTCCAGAGTGAGCAATTATTATAATTTCTTCAGTCACGAAGCATGCAGTATATACATGTACATGTATATATATCAAACCCTTGTTTAGGTGGCAAGCCAAAATGATTAATATTCTCCCTATAGCTTCAAAGCTAATTTCAATTAGCAACTAAAATACATCAAGAAATACATAAAATAACAACTACTTGTAAATGCTCCATAGAAACAAGGAAATCAAGGAAAGAGGTTTCTTGCCAAATAGCCAAAATGGTTGCTGAGGAAGATTATTTGTTGCTAAACCTTTTTTTTTCTGTATCTAGTAGTAAAATGTAATAATTCTAGATAGCAATACAACAAACAAGAATGACTCAGTACTGTTAAAATCACTATGGCTTTGAAGGCTCTCAGCTTTATGAATGCTGAACAAAACTTGATTTACATTTTTTGTACACACTGAACAAGTAAATGTAATCTACATTGTATGCTTCATGTTATGGACCTGCCAAATATCCTGTTGCAATAGCTTTTCTTTGAGGCGCCGCAAGTGATTGCAGCGAGGCTCGCTCCGCACCGTTTTCACTAGGGGTTCAGAATGATTTAATGTTTAGTTTACATAGGGCTCCTGTTTCAATTACAAAATTTGGAGATCCACAGATGCGACGTCGTATCCAGGGGCCCATGTATATCGTGAGTGTGACAGTGTGACAAACGGCATCCACGTGACTCTGTTCCAAATGTTCTCTGTTTTGTATTCAATGATTTTCTTTGTTTTTGCCGAATAAATAATAATAACTAAGTACATGTACATAAGAGATAGGAGACTGCAAACTTGCGATTAATTGGAGGACTTACGATTGATTTGGATCAAACGCAACTGTTTATAAGATGGGGCCCTGATGTACACAAGGTCTTTCAAGTCTATCGATCTACACTGTACAAGTATGTACAATGTACATGGATATGTACATTTCCATTCCAATATCATTATAATTAGTAGTCACCTGATATTTCTCTCCTGTAGGCGAAGCTGATAGGGGTGTGCGGTCTCTTTCCTCTGGCTTCGTCATCATCCTCTCCTTTGAAGTGTACTTTCTCATATGCTTCAAGGTATCTGACAAAGAAAAACAATAAAATAAATTAGACATTCCATTTTATTCCACGTCTAAATCCAATCCATCCAGGTATTTATAAAGCGCCAATATCTAGCGGTAGTTGCCTAATCTAAAGTGATGATGAGACTGAAAAACTACCAAAAGTGTCTGTTCATGATTCTAACTGGGAAAGACAAAAAAGCAGTGACTAAAATGACATGTCTTTAGTTGAGTTCTGAAAGAATCCTTGAAATTCTTTCATGCAACCGGCATACAATCTATTAATTGTTCTTTTCTCTGAAGTGTATGGCTAAAGGAGATGGGAGGAGAGATCACATGCATTTTGAGAAATCTATTTCTTAATTCAAGTCTGAATCCTAGAAGTTATTTCAAGCTACTGGCATACATGTACCATGCCATAATTCTTGACTTACTTTCCTTTTAAAGATAAAGTGGAGTTCTTGTCATGCAATTGCACTGTGAAAGAGATGGTGTGGTATCGATCCGAAAATTACTTTTAGCATGACATGGGCGCAGCCATTTTCTTGAAAATGTAACGAACCAGGTAAAGTTATACATGTATCGTACACCAAGCTTTACAGTAGTTGGAAAGACTTTTTAAATCAATAACAAAACCTTAAGTTTCACTGAGGAAAAATCATAGCTAAGAAGATTATTTGGTGAAAAATATATAACAGGGGAAGACAAGTAACTAATTTGAAAATACTAAAATGTAGCAGTTGACAAATCTATTTCATGTATGAGCAACCTTCAGGATTCACCCTAGAAGAGCACCAACTTATTTATGCAATCTGCGTTCTGGCGATTGTAGTACAAAGGATAATAACAGGTGAATGAAATGTTAAAGTGTGCCTCCTTCTATGCCTATGCATCAAGGTAAATAAGAGGAGAAAAGGAATGAGGAAATTATTTTGAATAGGCTCAGCCAATTTTTCATTTCAAAACCAGGTCTGCGCCATTCGTTTGGTGACAACAAAATTACTTTGAATCAATTGTGCTTGAATATATGGAACACACCCAAGACTGGGCATGTCAAAGAAATGTGGGCGCATCATGCCACAAAAAATTGCTCTGGCTATTAAAGTCAAACATGTTTTTTCTTTAAAAAGAACATCAAATCTGTCAAATACAATTCAATAAATCCTAGCGAATTCTCAGATGGAAGAGAAATCTTATGTGATATTTACTATGAGCCAAGTTCAAGCTTTTATTGATCATAAACTTGTAATTTTTATACCTTGGAGGCTAAAACTATAACTTCAGTAGGTCACTATTAACAAAATAGAAATACAGTCAAACCTGTCTATAGCGACCACCCAAGGGAAACACAAAAGTGGCCTTTGTAGACAGGTGGTCTTTGTAGACAGGTTCCTTTAGTACATGATTCAATAAGACCATTTTCAAGGGAAACAACAAATGAGGCCTTTGCAGAAAGGTGGCCTTTAAAGACGGGTGGTCTTTGTAGACAGGTGGTCACTAAAGCAGGTTTGACTGTATATACACACAATATGCTGTATTTATATGTACAAATTAAAGATAAGATTGCAAGTTGAGGTAACGAGGTAAAAACAAAATTGTCAGTTAGATCAACAAGTCTAATGTCCAATGTTATTGATCATAAATTTGTCATATTTATAATACCTTGGATGCTAGAACAAAATAAGTTCACAATCAACTAAATAGAAATACACTGTATTATATGTACATGTATGCGTGTACAATTTATGTATAAGATAAAATTGCAAGTTGAGGTATGAGGCAAAACAAAATTGTCAGTTTGATCAACGAGTCTAACGATGTTGCTCACGACATGCTCAATGCATGCTAAATCGCGCAAATTCACAATCAATCAATAAATGAATGCTATTTGAGACCCAAGAAGGTCAATTCCACACAAAAGGCAATAAAGTTGTTGACTCAAAGCAAAGCTAACCATCCATACGGTACACTTCCATACAATCACTTTTAATGGGTACTGATGACTGCAAAATACAGTGGAGCAGCGCCACCAGGATTTAAAGCCCCACTGTACTACTTATAGCTACTTGCGCCCTCTAGCAAACAATGCCTAATCGGTGCCTGTTGGTCTTCCACGATCCCCTTTTTCTTATGTTAAATGTCACCTGTCAGCGACCATGCAGGGAGGTCTAATCCCCCCTGGCCAAACTAGTACAGACGGCCTTTAAATAGCTATCCAACCCTTGGGTTAGGATCATTTGTATGAGATCAGAAAAATAAGAGAAACAGAATAACCGAAGGTTGATATAAATCGGACCAATAAGTGGTCTACAACATTATCTCCCTCTAGAGCGAAAAATGTATTTTAGAACTTTTCTAGAGAGGCAGGCCACCCTTTCTGTTTCCCTTGGGTGGGGCAGAGATATCATCAGTATTCCACAAGATTTTACTATCATTTACAGAGTGAGAAATGGGGGTGATAACTCATTTTTTTCAAACCAATATTCAGTTCAGAGTGATAGCACACAGGCTGTTTCACACAGCTTCTCTTTCTTTCTCCAAACCAGTGTTACTCGTCCTTGAAAGTGGTAACATCGAAGGGGCTCGTTGTCTCTTTGTGACAAGAGCTGCATTTACACTGCTAACAAAAATCAATGATTTCTCTCATATTCTGTCGTTTTGTCTGTAGTTGTCGGTAAATACAATGAAAAACCAAAACCGAAAAAATCTACTTGTGGAGTGTGGTTCTTTTAAATGCCTGTCGACATTTCACTGATTGTTGCAGTGTACAGTAAATCAAAACTTCTGTATGATCCCGTCTTTTCGTTGTGTGACTCTCCTTGCTTCTGTGTGATCGCACGCAGAGGAGCGACAAATCAAGCATTCACACTACTCACCCAAAAACTAAGAATGAGCAAACAGTTTTTTTCCAGTACCGGTAATCTAAATGGCGGTAATGTATATGGCAGTAAAGAATAAATCGACAGTGTTTAGGATGTGTAAACGGGCCTAATTTATTTCTCCAAACCAGTGTTACGGTACTTCAATCGTCCTTGAAAGCGGTAACATGGGTGAGGCTCGTTGTCTCTTTGTGAAGAGGTGTTCTCTATCATTGAAATCATTAACAATACAGGATCAGTGTGGCTAGCCTAGAGCAGGGCTCTGGGATAACCTTAGCAATAACCTCCACCATTGAGAAACGGCACAACTGCACAAAGCAAGCTCATTTATTACATTTCTCTCACAGAGGATGCTTGAGAGACACTGATATCATGAAGGCATCGAGTGTGAATTTGTGGTGGTGAGGGTTCTTAAGTATTGCCAAAGAAATATTACTGTGGACTGTGGAGAAGGTAAAAAGACATCCCATTTGCACATAGAACAGAAAAGCAAGGTTCTGAAATCATCAAATTGAGAAATTTGGCCCAGTAAAAGTAACAAGCACTGTAGGCCTACACAGCAAATGTATACATGTAGGACTACACACACATGTGGCATAAAATTGTGGTCCTCATTTTTAAGCTGTTACATGTCATATTTAGATTTTAGAATACAGGTATGAAGGTATTTGAAGAGCCATGCTTTTAAGGAAACATCTTTTCTCTGATGTTTTTCCACACTGCATAATTAGTAACAATGCAAACGCTCAGAAATTATTTGTCACTTCTCCCTTGAACTCAACCTTCTCTTTGTAAAGCATGTTTGACCACAGGTACATATAGACAGTCTATTGTGAAGCCCCCTATCTCTATCAAAGGTGAAGTGTAAACAAATTTGCCTTCATGTTATGTCTCTGGACTTCAATATAAATGACCTCAAACTGACCTGAAGCAAATCCAATATGCCTTTTTTTTTCTCCTACCAAAACTGTTGGGGGCAGAATAGGATAATAAAAATTGTGCCTTTAGAACCCAGAGGAAAAAATAGCAAATTTACAAAGGGCTTTTGACCCATATCGCTAACCACATGGCGACATGTACATGTAGTAGATGGGTGGTTGGGTGCAGAAAGTTTTTTTTATTTCAGACATATCATTTACAGTATCCTCTTTCAAAGGAAATCTAATGCAATCATGACAATTTTACAACCAATGCAAGCAAGTTTGTTTTGTTCAATGTGTAAATAAATGGCAATTCAAAAGTGAGAATGCGTTTGCAATACACTAGTTTCAAATGTATCACTTAACCTCTTCGGAAGCCAATTTTAATGCAATCCAGGACATTTTTTTTTCTCCAAATGGCAATTAGAAAATTGAAATGCAAAAGCACTGTACAAGCCTACAGTACAGCAAGGCTCCACAGATTCCGCACTAACTTGTTTTGGAAGGGGGTCCAGACTAAAACTTTGTTAACAATTTGTGTGCATGAGCCCTGTCTACAGTTATGTAAAAACTTTAAAATCTTGGAAGCCCTGCGGCCTATACCCTAGAGAATACAAATTGTATGACAATATACTAGTGCCAGGATAATTAAGAAAAAGAAAAAGGGTCCAAAAATAATGTATGCTTACACTATTATCCCAAGTTTTTTTATGAATACACTGTACATGTTTAGGAATACACTGAGACAGTGAATAAATGAATGTGGAAAACTGGAAACTAAAGTGAAATGTAAAATCAAAACCTGTTTTACTCCTAATTTCCCTTTTTAAACAGGATAAGAAAATATGACTGAACAAAGCATACACAAATTGGAGTATTTCATAACCTTTGTGTGTCTGGACGTACCGTATTATTAACAGTGCTACAAATTTAACCAATATTTGCCAACAGAGATATTTAATGCACACCTTTGAAAATAATCTGTGCTGTAACGAAAACACTTAGATTGTGAGTGGAAGCATTTTATTGAAATCGCCTAACCATGTCAGACAAGTTCGTGAAATATGTAGGGCAAGTCTTCTAAAATAGGTTTTTTGTTATCCCCACACTACACTGTCGATCTAAAATGGGATACAGTGTGTACAATCAGCACACAGCTCAAGGCGAGTTTACATGGAATCTACACTGAAAAGAACCATGTACAAATGCAATGTACAAGGG